ATATATATATATATCTATTTTTGTCTATTCATATAAATTTTTCCATATCCTTAAAATCATTTCATTGGATTGGCACTTCCCCCTTAATTAATTTTCCCATCTCACACGATTAATTACACATAATCCAAAACAATTTAGCATACAAATTTCATCTACTGCTAATTGCCTATCAAAATATCTCTTTTTCACTCTCTGCATGCAGGCACAAATTGCCTACTAAGAAACAAAGTGCTCGGCCCATTGTTCTCCCCCTCAGTAGACAATAATTCAAAAATATTATAAAAAGTAAAATATTTAAATTTGTATTTCATAATGAAATTCTTTAATACTTAAGAATATTTTATGAAAAATTTACTAGCAACAACAATAATTTGATCTTTACAAATCCAATAAATTAGTTTTCATTTCTTATTTTTTCAATAATTAAAATGCCAAAAATTTAACCTTAAGAAAATAATAATAGGAACAGTGTAATATAAACCTTGGTCATTAAAAATATAGAAATGCATTTTTTGTAAATTATCCATTGCAAATTTCTGATTTCATATGAGCGTATGTGATGTATTAGAAGCATGGATTTTATTGACTTATCATTGTATTACTTCTATTAGTTTATATTTAATCTTGTTTATCTTTATTTGAGCTGTCACGAGCAATATGTTAATTTTTAGCTTAGAAATAATAAATAATTCTTTTATCTTGTAGGATCATGTATTATAAACAGCCTTACATAGTTTATGCAATATGCAACTTTAATACTTAAGAAAAATAATGCTTGGCATGCCCTCCATACTTTTAAGTTGTGCATATTGATTCTTTCCATCTCTTCTTTCTTCCCTCTTTCTCCTTCTTCCTCAATTACTTCAAGGTTTAAACAAATGTACTGATTTGAGTCCAAATCAATACGTATCAGAACCCAATTTCATTCCTAAAATCTCAGCCCTATCAAAAAGACTTGTTCAATACCTAAAAAAGGATCAATAACATCAGCTTGTTGCTTAATATAGTGCAATACAATAACCAGTTATTCTTTAGCTAATATATTTACAAGACCCGTCAATCAAAGTAGGGTAGAAATGATCTCCAAGCTCCTTAACAATATAATTTCTATGCATAACTGATTAAAACTTACAATCACTCAAATATGATATATAAATGTATTTTCTAAATTATATTAACAATATTAAAGCATCATATCATACAAAAAAATATATGATTCCAAAATTTGATATTTATAGTGCATTTATCATGTATGGAAACTTCATCTTTAGAAAGATTATTATTAAAACTTTAATATTTTGATGAGTTCCGACCATTTCAGCATAATTATAGTTGAATTTAATTTTTAAATCCAGAAACTCAAATATATATATAAACTCCATGCTTTTAAATTTTGCGTACTAATTAATATAAATGAACTTTTCGCCTCGAAGGTGAAGAATAAAGATTGTTTTCCCAATTCAAAATCAAATCATTTAATGTGAACAAAAATGTGAAAATTGTTCAGATTTGGAATAGGCCAACATAATTTCATTGATAGGAGGAGAGGCACTTAAACTGAATTACAATATGTATAATAATGGAATGTGAACATAATAAAATAACCAGAAAAAAAAATAAAACAGAATAAAACAAAAGAGGAAATACATAATCAGGAAATAAAATCAAATAATGAGTGATAATGACATAGGAATAGTCGTTATAATCTAATACTCCCCCTCAAATTGAAGCAAAGATGTCAGTCATGTTCAACTTGGACTTGAAGTCATCGAACAAAAAAGCGAGGCAAATTCTTGGCGAGGATATCCACTAGTCGACCACTGAATGACACATATGAAACGCAAATCTCCCCGGACTCGATCTTTTCCTTAATGAAGTGTCTGACGATCTCCACATGTTTGATAGGATCATGCTGAACTAGGTTAAGGACATAATAGCCGCAGCTGGATAGAAGTTGTCATATGGAGTTCGCAGAGCCTGATGCATAACCAGAGAGTTTCACAGAATCCTAAGAACATAGATCGGAATTCGCCTTCAGGAGGACAAAATAATTTATCTCCAACCTCAAACTTGTCCCTAATCTTAGCTTCCTTTGAGTACAAGGATTCACTCACCTGATCGACGAATTGGAATAAATCTCCCTGGTACCTTTTCACTTCCTCTCAATGCGTTCTCATCATCATCATCTTTATTTGAGATGCTACATCATCGAGTCTTGCTATTGTGACAGGCTTAACTGCCACATCTACCTTGAAGACCAACTTCTAAGCTTGTTCAACTTGGGTTTCATCTTTCCAAGTAACTTTAAAAAGCTTAGTGCTTAGGATGCCAGATAACTCTAAAGCCTATGTCTTGGAATAAGTTGGATTAAAATAGCTTGTTGCTAGAGGGTAAGAAATTGGATCTTCAACAAAGTGAAATTGTTGGAAACCAGTTCAAAATCAACTCCCTCATTCACTAAATGTTGAGTGCATGTTTAGAAAAGAAGTTCTTCGCTTGACTCCAAGCAATGGGTCTAACACCTCTCTACTTCACAACTATCGGCAAGCAGAGATAGCATATTGTCACGGACAAATAGTCCCACATTGGCTAGGTGTAGGGCCGAAAAGCAGTATTTAAGTCCTGGGCTGCCCACCACCCACAAGGGCTCTTTTGGGAGGTGACAAGTGGTATCAGAGCAGATTACTGTCTGCCAGGTGTGTGGACTCTCCATGGTCCAGTGGGACCCTCAGTGGAGCCGATCCGTGACGAGGGCGTCACGTGATTGGGTGGAGGAGAATGTCACGGACAAATAGTCCCACATTGGCTAGGTGTAGGGCTGAAAAACAGTATTTAAGTCCTGGGCTGCGCACCACCCTTAAGGGCTCTTTTGGGAGGTGACAATATGCTATAGTTGCAGCCTTCGACGCCTAAGTCAAATCAATAACCATCCCTCACAGCAAAGTTTAATTGCAAACTTTGTCAAATGCATTGTTAAATATATAAGAGCTTTTTCCTAAGCTGATTTGACCTTTACTTTCTTCTTTATAGACTCGTCTACTATTGTAGAATCTCTTGTAGGAACAAAAGACATGACGCACTCCAGTACTCCGCTACCAAAAAATATTTCCGCTATATAGTCATCTGATGTCATTAAAGCGTTAAGCCTCCTAAGAAGAACTCATCCAAGTAATACTCTACCATCAATATTTAATTGTTAAACTTTTATGACCAACACTCACAAGTAGCACCCAATCAAGGGGTACCTAACAAACAAATAACTAATAGCAACACTAGTTTTATTTGCCCAATGAACTCATAAAGACACTTACAACAAAAGAGGTGATTATTTGACCAATGAACTCATAAAGGCACTTGCAAAAAAAATTTCCATGTGTGCCAGACATCCACAAATTCAGAATACATAAAAATTGTAATGAATAATGTAAACTAATCAACCAAAATAACATTCTCACTGGGAGAAACAACAGTATCATTGCAGTTTGTGAAGAACCAAATATGTAAACTAATCAACCAAAATAACATTCTCACTGGGAGAAACAACAGTATCATTGCAGTTTGTGAAGAACCAAATATGTAAACTAATCAACCAAAATAACATTCTCACTGGGAGAAACAACAGTATCATTGCAGTTTGTGAAGAACCAAAAAGCCAAACCTCGATCTTGAACCTGCTTCAAGCCCTAGCAGCTCCTTGGAAGGATCGAAATCATGCTGCAAGATAATGAAAAGCTTCAAAAGGCAATAGTCGCCCAGAAGAATCACATAATTAAGGAAAAAAGATGAGAGAGAAGAACGGTGCTAAGAAATTCGGCAAAAGAACCCACGTGAGTTGAATTGCCGTTCACGGAACAACCAATTCGCCATGAAACAGCGCCTATCCTCCGAGAAATGGAGATAACGGAGGCTCGCAGCTGCCTGCCTTTCCATCTCTCTAGAAGTAAGCAGTGCCAACGCAGAGTGCATGCGGAGATCATTTCATCTCCAGCAATGAATCTAAGCTCTCTGGAGTTGTCGACACCAAGGCGTACTTCTGTGTTGCAGGCTGAAAGTTTTTCGATCTCGCGCTGGAAAAAACTTTTATGTCTCGTTTGACTATCTAAAAAATGATTAAATCTAGTGTTATTCTAAAACGGCATTAATATCGTCATAATAACATCTCAATATCACGAGAAATATTTTCGTACATAAGACATAGTGTATGTACATAAGACATAGTGTATGTCAGGTGGGTTACATGGAGGGCATGGAGGGTTATATCCGGGTTATACCCCTGTAACCTCCATGTAACTTACCTGTAACTTACAAATATATGAAAATAGAAGCGCAGAACTTACTAGTTACAAATAGGTTATAAGGATGTTACAAGGGATATAAGGCGGACATAACCCCCATTACCCTCCCTGTAACCTACCAAACTTACGCAGCTCTGCGTACTTCTTACGTACGCAATTTTTTCCTCAATACCACCGGTATCATCGTTTCGCTTCAATAACTCTGCAAAATAACTCGAATAACACCACAATAACATCGCAATAACAAGTAACAACAGTAATTAGCGCCAATAACACCGTCTGAAGAATCACACAAATAACATTGCGGTAACACTGCAATAACCCTCACAAAATAACTCCATTAACACCGCAATAAATCTTAAACCATAATAACATCGCAATAACACACGTTAACAACACCAATAACATCGTACGAAAGACCGCACAAATAAAATTATGATATTTTTAGGGTGTTATTAGCGTCTTTACGTCATTTTTTATGTGGGCCAGTCAGTTACACGTGACAATTTTTTGTTAGAGTCCGAACGCAGAGCTGCGTCGGGACTCCGTATGGAATTTTTTTTTCTCGCACTGAGTGAGAAGACGAGAACTAAACGGTGATTTATGATTAGTAAATTTATAAATTATAATTGCATTAATTTTTTTTTTCATGAATTTAGTAAATTCTAATTTTAGTCGAACGGAAGGTAAATATTCTGTAAGTTTTTATCTTTAATGTTATAACAATTAACTCAAACATACAAAACACATTAATTTCCACGGATTATGCACCTAAAGCACGAACATAGAAGAGGACCTTCTTATAAGCAAGAAGATCGAGGAAGAATTTCTAAAATGATTCAAATTATACGTATGTTGAAGCAACTGCTTAATTCATCTGTATGTCTTGTAGTTGTACTCTGCAAAGTAAAACTAATAGGCTCCGGAAATTCTACTTGGTTCATGATAGAAGCAAAAGAATCACTGACCCGTGCTAATTAGATCGTGCTTGGGGGTCAAATCATATTGTCGGGACATGACACATATTTGAAGTGAATGATTATAAATTTCATACAAGCACCTAGTGTGAGTAAAAACAAACTTATAATTGTGGTGTGTGTGTTACAAGAAACACACACACAAATAACGAGATCAGTTATTACAACATAATAAATGAAATAATCTCGTTGCAATATTCAGGTAATGTTGAATGCAATGTCTATCATATTTCTAATCGAGTAACACAGACACTAGACCCGTATGATATTATTGAAGTTTAAATGAGCATAAGCTATGCAAAGTATGACTCATTTATTCTGACAAGTTAAGCCAGTCAAGTTTATTATCTTTGATATCTAGGTCGAGCAATGGATAAACTTGATTGGGTTGTTGTATTGAAGAATAAACCAGAAAAATTGTTGAGATGTAAAATGCTATCGAACCAATTCACCAAGAGCCAATTATGTCGAATTTTCATATTCAACTTAGCTCAATCGACGAGGAGTTATCCCTAGAGGATTCACGAGGCTTCATGAAGAAGTCCATATGGATGAAAACGATAATGAGGTTGGTGAATAAATTTTGAGTTCTTTAACACTCGGATCATCGAACGAAACAGAATAAAAAGTAGTTTTTATACTTAGTTATTTAATTTATGCACCTTCTTGTGTAGTTATGAAATGTTTCATGTTGTCATTCTACACAAATTTCATTTTACTTTTATGTCTTAGATTACATAGTGATCATGCTTACTAATTCTTTTTTTTTTCTTTAGCTGATGGCAGGTGTCCCGGAGGGACCCCGCGTTCAAAGGACTTTGGCGAACACATATTAGAGGCTGAAGAAGGTCGCCAACAGCGCTGACAGGTACGACACTTATGCAACCACTCAAGTGACTCTTTTTGTTGCCCCTCCTCCCTCACCAGGTCCCTCATAGGCACCACCTCCCACTCGTGCATGATATTTTCGCCCATATTCCTCATCTAATGAGTCTGGCCTCTTTACTCTAGCACCTGAGATGATTAACTCAGTCGATAGAGTCCATATCGTGACGGAGGGTGACTCTTAAGTCAATTATACTTTGTATAGTAAAGTAATTTCAATTTTCATTCTACTTTGTAATATGACTAATATTTTATTTCCAGGTTCTACCCCTCCAAGCCGCCCATGATGCGGATCATGGAGATCAACTGGAGTAGGTATGATCAATCATTTATTACATGGAAGCAGACCCCAATTACGACTTGGTATATGTACTTTAGGGAGTTTGAGGTATGATATTTTAATTTGAAATAGAATGCTAATTTTTATCTTTTTATATTCATCAAACTTACATAATTACTAATTTTCAAAGGTCTTTTTACTCATTGCCGGAACATCATCGGTAGATCTGAAATTTTTTTGAGATTCATGCTAGGATAGGCTTGAGGACATGTTTACTACAACACAGAAGAAGGGGCAGAAACCCTCATGACTTGGTGAGGAAGTATGGGTTGAGTTGAACCGTGTATATGCTTCTCTGGAATACCATAGAGAAAGACAAAAAAAATCAACGGAATGAGATGACTGAGAGAGTCAAGGGGTTGTACTCTGAATTGGAGGTTCGATTCCCCACACATTGCACTATCAAAGACTGGTAAGATTATCTAAAAAATCAAAAGCTTACAGATTTATGCAATCATGGGACTCTAATATTTTTTGATCATATATACATGCCAAGAAGCTTGTCCGAGAGTCATCAACTGCAGAGTTGCATGTCTTTACATATCAGTGCGTGAGGACACAATACTGGGCATTCGAACCCTTTCGACATGTCAATGTAAGTTACAAAAATATAATTTTCTATTTTTGTGGGGCTATTAATATGCTAATTAATATTTAAAATGCAAATTAATGTTTGGATTTTGTTATGCATAAAGAGTACGAGCAGCTTCGAGAAAGAGAGAGGGAGATGGCTAGCCAGACATCGCCGTCCGCCAGCAGCAGTAATAACCAGTCTACCACTGCTCAGTTTAATTTTGAGTTGTGGACGCATGCAATGGGGAAGAAGAAAGGGATAGTGTATAACGTAAGAGCATAGGGGATAGCATTTGAGGTTGAACGCTCACGTGCATTTGTGAGTGGGCCTAGCAGCTCTTTACTGACTCTTCATGAGAAGCTTGTCAGGTGTGACATGATGATGAATGAAAAGCTTCAACAGACGTGTGAATACCAACAAATTGTTATAGATAGTCTGTCGCGCTTGACAGGAAGTTTTGATCGTCGAGGCAAGCGACATATGAATGATGTCGAGGAGGATGAGGATGAGAAGGAGGAGCCGAATTCTGATGGCGAGAAGCATTAGAATTTTTATTTTGTGTTTGATGTTGTTCCCTCGACATAGGGATTAATTGTATATTTTTTTCATTTATGTTTAATCAAACTTTCAGTTTCTTATGTTGTGAACTTTCAACAGCTTGATCTGTTTATATTTTATCAAATTTAGTAATTATGTTTCTTGTATTTGTTATGTGCAGCAAGGTGAAATATATGTTTGTTTTGCTGTATTTTTTTTATTTTCTTACATGTTTGAATCAGATTAGTGTTAAAATGTTCTGACACTAACCAGTCAATCCATACATGTTGTCGCTAAATCGACGCATGAACATCGAACCCGGGTGATGCTAATTAGAGTCGACATGATCCAATGCTAATTTGAGTCAAACAAATTCGACGCTCCTGAATTGTTATGTTTAGGGCTGTAAACGAGCCGAGCTTGAGCGAACTCAAGCTTGGCTCGTGTTTGGCTCGTTCGAAATTGTTCATGTTCGAAATCGGCTCGTGTTCGAAAATGGCTCGTGAACAACGTGTTCGTGTTTGGCTCGATTTAAATATTCGTGTTCATGTTCGGCTCAAAATTGACTCGTTAAAATTAAACTGAAAAAATAGATGTAAAGTGTTTGATTCGAACCTGAACCAAATGTATGCAAAGCAAGACGTTGAACCACATTACCACAAGAGCAATTACAATTTAAACTTAGATATAAATATATATAATATATTATTATATAAATAATATGTGTAATATATTATTATATAAATAATTATATATTTTTTTTTTATTTCAAGCTAAAACGAGCCGAACACGAGCGAACAAAGAGCTGTTCGTGTTCGGCTCGTTTATAATTCGAGCTTTAAAAACTTCTTCGTGCTCGGCTCGTTCGTGAACGAGCCGAACACGAGCTACTCAACAAGCCGAACATGAGCTGTTCGCGAACAACGAACTTTTTTGACAGCCCTAGTTATGTTAGCATTGCCCGCATTTTCGAAGAAAAGTTTTAGTGATAAATTTTGGCAACGCAAATTCAAATGCTAATAAAAATCCAACGCAAATGCCGACGGAAACTCAATTACCGACGCATAATTTAACGCCACATTTTTTATGCTAATATGATGTTAATCGGGATTAGCATCAGAAAATCTCCAGATTAGCGTTGGAAAAGTTCGACACTGAACGGGCAATTTCTTGTTGTGGTTGTAACCGGTATGACATTGTAAATCCTTTAGCTTTATTGAGTAGATGATTTATGATTCAAACAACAAATTCTTTTACCATTGGCAAAAGTCATAATTAGATTTGGGGTTTAAAAATAAATGATTCATGATTTGCCACACTATGTATTAGATAACAACTATTCATTGGTATATGATCCCAAAATAATGTTGATTGATAGTCTTTAATTTGTTGCACTATACTTTGTTTCATTCCCTATCAAGATTCATCTCACAATATTAAGTTATCATCCCTTATAAATCAATCTAATGGTGTCTTTCATTGAAAAATATATAATGAATTAGAATATCCACATTAAATTCATATCATGACATATATGTAACCCAATATCACCACCTAACCCACTCCTTACATTTATTTATGTATAATAGAACAAGTAGAGCAATAGGATCAAATAATTACAGTCTATTAGTATATAAAATGATTTTATTAGGCCTCATGTCCACCATATACACCTAATCATCCTCTTCTTCTCAGCTTCCGAGAGATAAAATAACCAGTTGTGAATGCCACCAGAGCCAAAGTAATGTATTTTTTGTTTTTGTAAACTCTATGCAACACTTCTTCTATAAATCTACTATCTATCCAATGCAACCAACCCTTACCTTCTTCTTCATTCCAAACCCATCTTCGCTTTCTTTTTTCTTTATGTACTGGTTTCTTCTCCCCCACTTCTGCCTCATGACAATACCTTGATTTCTCTTCAGATTCTTTTAGCTTCTCTTTCACCATTGATGCTTTCTTCATTTCATTTAATATTGATTCATCTTTCCTCTCTTCTACGTTTCTCTCCTTCATAGTTCGTAGTTCTTCTTTCAGTTCTGTTAAGGGTTCTGCTTCTGTAATCCTCTCTTCCATCTCCATTGTTGTCATCTTTGCTTCATCTTTCATCTTCTCATTAATGCGCTGCATTGTTTCGTTCATTATTTGGTCTTCTTTCTTCTCTTTGATAGCTACATCTTCTTTCCTTTCCCCCACATCCATTAATGGTTTCTTCTTCGCTACTGTTGCTTCATTTTCTTCCTTCATCGCATCTGTAATCATCTTTGTCTTCTTCTCCATTATTGGTTCTTCTTTCTTCTCTTTAATAACTGAATCTTCTTTCCTTTCCTCCATAGCCATTAAAGGTTTCTTCTTCGCTACTGTTGCTTCATTTTCTTCCTTCATCGCATCTGTAATCATCTTTGTCTTCTTCTCCATTATTGGTTCTTCTTTCTTCTCTTTAATAACTGAATCTTCTTTCCTTTCCTCCATAGCCATTAAAGGTTTCTTCTTCGCTAATGTTGCTTCATTTTCTTCCTTCCTCTCATCTGTAACCATCTTTGCCTTCTTCTCCATTACTGGTTCTTCTTTCTTCTCTTTGATCACTGCATCTTCTTTCCTCTCCTCCACAACCATTAATGGCTTCTTCTTCGCTATTGTTGCTTCATCTTCTTCCTTCCTCGCTTTTGTAACCAACTTTGCCTTCTCCTCCATTACTGATTCTTCTTTCTTTTCTTTGATCACTGTATCTTCTTTCTTATCCTCCACTGCCATTAACAGTTTCTTCTTCTCTACTCTTGCTTCATCCTTTTCCTTTCTTGTTTCTATAACCATCTTTGCCTTCTCTTCCATTACTGGTTCTTCTTTCTTATCTTCAGAAGGCTTACGTTTGATGATTCTTGGGATGGTTAAGGAAAGAATATTGTTCTCCAATTTTCCGCCAATTTTTTCAAAGTTTGAATCTTGTGGAACTTTATAAGAGGACTGAAACCTAGCATATCTGAGTTCACCCACTTGCTTTGTTCCCAGGACCGTTATCTTCCCGGTTTGGTCATATGAAATATTCAATTCCTCCTTCTTGAATGCTTGTATACATACAAAATAATAATAATAAAAAAATAAAATAAAAAAAAACAAAAACAAAAACAAAAAAACAGATTAAACAAATTTGTCTCCCTTGAGATTCAAGTTGGTAGACAGTTGCATTGTCAGTCGTAAAACCCCTCTCCCTCGGGTTCATTTACGTTAAATTTAATTTGTCAAATTCGATAAATCAAGAATTATCACATCATCTTTATCAAATCTAAATAATCAGGATTTATCGAATTCAATTGCACAAGGAAGAGTCAGCGAGCGACGACAAAATAAATTCACCTCACAATCAGATATACCAAATCCAGATTTATATTGTAGAACTATTTGAAAAACAAAAAAAGATGAAACACGAGAAAATTTGATTTAACGAAGTATTGAATTTCGTTTTCATTTTTCTTCATGTTTGAGTGGATTTAAGCTAAATCCATTGTCAAATCCTATTAATAGAATGCTAAAGAAATGCAATTGGCCCGTGTAGGTTTAGATTGAAAATTTAGTTTAAACAATGAATATAATTATTTTGAATATTTTGAGTGTCAATTAATTATTAAAATAATAAATTCCATTAATTACATTCTTATTGTGGCCATTTCATTATTGAAGAGATTTATACTTTATAATCCAATATAATAACAGTAATTAGATTCACAATTGAGAATTATTATTATTATATTGAAAAACAAATAAAAAATAATTCTACTCTCCATAAATATATCACATCAAAAAATAATATATTAATTTTTTAATTGCATGATAATTTCCTTTTAGATGATCATAATAAAGGATAGATTTGAAACTTAAAATTTAAAAGAAAATTGAAGATCACAACAAGGGGAAATATTTGAGTACGTAAGACGTACGCAGAGTTGCGTACATATTAGGTTATTCAGATGGTACAGACAGGTTACACTAAGGTTATAACCCTTATAACTCTTCATGTAACCTAAGTGTAAACTACTTGTATCCTCCGAATAACCTAATATGTACACAACTCTGCGTACGTCTTACTCACGCAAATATTTCTCCACAAGAAGAGATTAAGCATTAGTGGATTTAAGGAGCTATATGGGCATATATTATCTTACTATTTTGAATTTATTTATTTATTTTATATATCTTGATAAAAAAATATATATCAAGGCATCCTAATTAATATAAATTAATTAATAGATTTGTTTTGAAATTAGCACTATACATAAATATTTCATATTGCACTAAGCTAAAAATAAATTCAATGATTTTCAAGTTCACGAGGATATATAACAATAAAGGACATAAAAATGATAAATTTACATAAATACCAATCAATTTGTATATATTTACATCCAAAATTTACACTTTCATATGCATCATAACCCATGCATTAAAAAAGCTACATTTATATCAAAGATTTGAATTTTATGCATTCAAATATAAAAATTTATGCATTATAGATTTGCAAATATAGAAGTCTTATGGAGTATAAATGTAATTATATAATTTATATCAAAATAATTCCACATAAAATTTCTTCTTCTCAATTTACATTCCTCACCCCTCCTAAAATTATGATATAATTAATTAATATATTTCAATTAATAAAAAATAAAAAAAAATCATTTTTTTTAATACCTTGGGGAAGATATAGACGGAGGATATAGCCGGAGGGCTCCTGCACCCATTCCTCCGGCGGCTTGAAGTCATCATATATGGGTTGAAGTGGCGGCCGAGCTCTCCTCTCTCCTCTCCTCGGAAGCATTTTTGATTGAAGAATTGCCTTGAGAGATTTGGAGTACTTGATGGATATATATAAGGAGATAAATATTTATATTATTTAATAATAAAGTTTATATTTTTATTTATATGCATGCATGCATGAAAATAATATTACGATCGTATGTGCATTAACGGCTGTGATGCGTGTAGAGAAAAAAAAATACGACTTTGTTGTATTTGTATCGACTGACATACATATGGTGAACGTATGTAATATTTGCTCGTGTGCATGGCATTGTTATAGGGTTTCTTTTGAAGTAATGGGTTTCTTGTGGCATCTTTATTCTATGAGGGAGAGAGAGGAGAAGGTTGGTGTTGTTCCTTGAGTTACAAAGAAGCTAAAGTGAAGGTATTTTCTCTTTTTGGGGTGAGGTTAGGGAGTTTTGCTAGCTTTTAGATAGGAGTTCGGCAAGATTTTCATATATAACCATAACTTTTGAACAAATATTACCCCTAACTTTTGAACAAATATTATGTTCAGACTCTGGACGTAGAGATACGTTCGGAGTCCAATGAAATCACGTCACGTGAAGGTGACAAAAAAAAATCGTTAAAAAAAATCGTTTTAGCACTAGCACAGGAGAATATTCCTTTCCTCTCGTGTTATTTCACATTATGCATGTGTTATTATAGTAGTATTAATGTATTATTGTGTTATCAAAATATTTTCGGTATTATAATAGCACAATGACACTTCAATATCACCACAATAACACCTGAATAACGTTGAATAACACGGGAGGAATATTCTCCTATCTTACCAGGCCAGATCACAAGAAAACGAGTTTTTTTTTCTATCAGCTCCATGTGGAGGTGATTCATTGGACTCCGGACGTATCTCTACACCCGGAATTCAGACTTAATAATTTTTCGTCATTTCTTATGTATTTACATGCATGACAAGGAAGCTTTATTTTTTTACATTTTTTATGATCCAAATATTTATCTCACCTACCCAACCAAATGCCTCTGTTCTTCTCATTTCTCTCCCAAAATTTAAATTTATCGCTATCCAAAAAGAGTTTTATTTAGTTCCATAACGAGAATATTAAAATAATATTTAATAATAATAATAATAACTCCGGAGCCTTCGCGTGGACGTCATTCAACTTATTCGGAGTTATAGTTAACAATAATTAATCTCTAGTCATTTTTATTTTCTTACCACACAATTGTTATATTATCACATGCCATTCTCATGTTTACATACATACCCTTACATATATATACCTATAAATATCAAATTTTGGGTATTATATATATATATATATATATATATATATGAATTTCTAATTTTATATATTTAAATATATAATATATAAACAATCATATTTACAAGCATATCACTCACATTCTTAACATTATAATACTAAGAGCGTGTTTGGGACAGCTTCAGCTTATTGAATAATCTGCTGATAAGCTGATTAAAAATAATCTGTTGATAAGCTAGGTGCAGTGGCTATTGCAAATTTTTATTTTTTTTTAGAAAAGCCAGATCGCTGCAAAAAGCTGTCACTGCACCTAGATAGATGCATCTAGGTGTGTGAAAACGTTTTAAAAAAGCATAAGCTGTCGAAACACAGTTTACCCAAACAATCTAGGTGTGTTTTCAAAACGTCACCGCACCAAATAATTTGCCCCAAACGGGCCCTAATATTATTATTATTAGCTTTTTAAAAGTGATATTAACATTTTCATGCATAGATTCATAACAGCAAAATATTATAAATGAAATATCAAATTTTAATTCTTTAAATTGTAAATAAAAAAGAATTTTGTGATATGTTTGTAAGTTTTTCTTCTATTTTAAGCAGGAAATTTTAAATTTAAAAATAATATAAATTTTAATTGATCAACCAAAATTTTTTATAAATTTTTCTCAACATAAAATATAATGATTTTAAATTTTATTATAATTAAAATTCTGATTTGAAATTTTCTTTGCTTTGTTCTATTCTATTTTATCATTTTAAATATTTATTGACAAAACATTTTCTATCATTGAAAATATTACAATAATATGGCTTCAAACTGAACACCCTATTTTGATTATTAACATGTTTATTTTCATGTAGATTTGTTGGAGAATGCTTGGGTATATTTAAATTTTATTTTTATTAAATTTATGCATCATTCAATGTGAGCTTAGTAGTAAACAAATTTTATTAAATTGTTAATTTTATTATATGTAATATTATTGTGCAATTATCATGGGTTAAATTTAAGAACCAAAACTAGACTTTTCAGTTTCTCATTAATGATTGATTTATGATTTGTACTAAAATCCAACATACATGTTATGACAACCCGAACTCTCATCCATCAAGGTATTGTCTGTTATGACCAAATGGTCTCACGGTTTTGCCTCGTCGGTGTAGTTTCTTAAGATGTCACCCATCTTAGAAGCGTTCCTTGAAGAACATGTTTAACTTTGAAGTTTCTATTGAAATTTCACTGTTACACTAAAAAGTGACTCGATGTTTAAGAATTTGGCTTCAATTTATTTAAAGGGTTTTATAATCTCTCCCACTTAATTAGTTGGCATTCTCGTCAGTTCTTCTATCCCATAATCATCTACTTGCCATATGAGTTTCTAGAGGTGACCCCTGCAGATTCAAGAGGTGGCTCCCATCATCTTGCACTTTGACCCATTTGGGGTTCAAAAGGTGGCTTACATGGTGCAGCAGTTTGTTTTGTATGACAACTAATGCTCATCTTTTGATTGGTGTTATCCTCTGATACAATTTGTGACTGCCCAAACTCTCGCCCATGAAGGTATTGTACGTTATGACTTAATGGCCTCACAGTTTTGACTTGTTGGTGTAACTTCCCAAGAGGACACCCGTCATAGAACTGTTCCATAATGAGCACACATAACTTTGGAGTTTCTAATGAAAGTCCACTGCTATACTAAAAGGCAACTCGATGTTTAAGAATGCAACTTCAATCTACATAAGATGTTTCATAATCTCTCCTGCTTACGTAGCTGACGCCCTCGTCTGTTATTGTATCCCTGAATCATCCACCAGGAAGATAAGACTTTAGTGGTGTCCCCTAAAAAATTCAAGAGGTGGCTCCCATCATCTTGCACTTTGACCCATTTGGAGTTCAAAAGGTGGCTTCCATGGTGTAGCAGTTTGTTTTGTATGACAATTAATGCTCATCTTTCGATTGGTGTTATCCTCTGATACAATTTGTGACAGCCGAAACTCTCGCCAATGAAGGTAATGTACATTATGACTTAATGGTCTCACAGTTTTGTCTTGTTGGTGTAACTTTCCATGAGGACACCTATCATAGGACTGCTCCGTCTTGAGCACACATAACTTTGGAGTTTCTAATGAAAGTTCATTGTTATACTAAAAAGAAACTCGATGTTTAAAAGTTCAACTTTAATTAACATAAGAGGTTTCATAATCTTTCTCACTTAGGTAGCTGACGCACTCATCTGTTATTGTATATTTGAATCATCCACCAGGAAGATAAGACTTTAGTGGTGTCCCCTAAAAAATTCAATAGGTGGCCCCCACCATTTAGCACTTTGTCTCATATGAAGTTCAAGAGGTGTCTCCCATGACGTAACATTTTGTTCTGTATGGCAATTAGTTCTCATCTTCCCGCCAGTGTAACGCTTTGATACCATTTGTGATAGCTCAAATTGTAACCCTTCAAGGTATTGTTTGTTTTGGCATAGTGGCTTCATGATTTTGCCTCGTTAGTATGACTTCCCAGAAGGTCACCCATCATAAGATTGCTTCAACATGAGCACACTTATCATTTGATATTTAAAGAAAATATTCAAACTTATTTATTATTTATTAATTTTAACATAAATGATCGAGTATTATTCAAGTCAAGTTATAATGGTTCATCAATTATAGTGGTTCATTTACAATCATACCTTCACTTGTGACCTGTTAACCCTACCCACACTCGTGATTGTTACGATCATTAAAGTTAACATGCTTAAAAATATTACCATATCAATAATATCATATGTGCTTAATAATTATGTAGAATTTAATGATATTTATTGTTGTAATATATTCTCATTATTAAATATATTATTCTTTATATAATTTTTTCTTATAAATCTCATATGTCCTCTTTCAACAACAATAAAAACAATAAATCTTTATCCCAATAAGTGGGGTCGCCTATATGAATCAATTTTCTCTATTATCTATTATTGAGTGTCATATTTTCATTTAATTCTAATAAATTAAGATCATTTTTTTATACAATATGCCCAAACATTTATATGTCTACTTTTGTCTTTCTTAATAATAGAAGTCGAATCTAAAACATATACTCTCCTAACCAGAACATTAGAATGTGACCAAACCATCTAAGACATTTAATGTGACCAAACCATCCAACATTTAGCGCCACAAAGCATTGCAGATATCAACTCCATCTTATTAAATTTTCATTTCAGTCAAAGCGGTATTTTTCTAGCACACAATAGGCCCGAAGCATTCCTCCACTTCAATCAACCAACTTGACTTCTACTAATAACATCCACATCTATATTATTGTCATATCTAAAGCGTGCACATATTTTAATAATTTGATCTATAGCTACAATTTTGTCACAAGTGTTACTACTACTAAAATTACATTCCATGTTTTCAGTTTTAGTTCAACTCAAATGAAGTGCTTCAGACTCCAATGTAGACCTTTATAATTTAAGTTTTTTCTCTAGTCTCATCCACGAGAAGAATATCATCAACGAAAAGCATATACCAAGGTAAATCCTCCTATAAATGTCCATTAAGAACATCCATAACTAAACCAAAAAGAAATGGGCTTAAAGATGATCCCTAATGTTATCCAACTGAAATAGGAAAATATTTGGTCAATCCTTCCTTTTGTTCTAACACAAGTAATAACTCTAACATGCATACATTTAATGACTTGAATATAAGTCATATCAACATATTTATTCTCTAGAACTCTTCATAGGATATTCATAGGATATCTCTTAAAATTCTCTTAAAATCTTATCGTAAGCTTTTTCTAAATCAATAAAAATCATATGCAAATCCTCCTTATTCTCTCTGCACTTCTTCATCAAAACTCTCAATAAATGCATAACTTCCATATTACACCTGCATTGCATAAATCCAAATTGATAATGAGAAATCCTTATAATACGTATTAACATATGTTCAATTACCGTCTCCCATAATTTTAAAGTACGACACATCAATTTAATTCCTTTATAACTTGCACACTCTGATGCATCCCCTTTATTCTTAAAAAAAGGAGTCCAAAACACTCAAAGTAAAGACCTCTTATACCCCAATGTGAGCCTCTCTAATTCAATTTTCTCTTAAGCTTTTTCTCTAGTCTTATCCACAAAAATGATACGAGCTTAAAGGAATTATGTGTGTTAGTATTCTGAAATGTCAAAAATCATAAATTTCAGATATGTAAATACATAAAAATTGGGCGGTATTTATGTAAATGAGAGCATTTACGATAATAATAGTAGTAAGTCACTGTCAGCCTTCGCGGGGAAGTAGTCCTCCTCCAGGAGATATCGTAACTTCGGAGTTATCGTATACAATAATTAAATGCTTTTAAGGCCTCTCTTTCTCTTTCAACACATCCATATTGCTGAGAAGTCTCTCATGCTTATCTGCTTTTGTCCCCTTCATAAAAAGACATTTCTTGTATTTACATATCTAACATCTAAATTTTACATTTTTACCATTCACATCTTTCATATTACATCAAAAACGAAATGATCATTTCACCTAAGGTGATATATATTTAAAATTTAAATTTTAAGTATTAAATATACAAACATAAAAAATATATTTTTAAAGATATTAATTTAATTTCAATTATTTGAAATTTTTTTTTTCGATATTGTGATTGAATTTAAGGTCGCGTACATGGGAAGCTGTTGCAGATAAAGTGACTCTCATTTTGTTTTTGGTAGTTTAAAAACAGATGTGCTCCAGTTATTTCTATATAAATAATTATTTTGGCCTTTTATAGTAATGATGTATGCAGTAGAGTTGTTCATGGCGATACATTTTATACTTTAAAACAAAAAATAGTACAAAACATTATAAAATAAAGATAAACACATCACTTATTAATGTGTCTTATATATATGCGCAGCATACTCAGATCAATTGGTTAGACGTTTGTTTGTCAGTTATAAGTCCCCTCTGTTATGGGATTCAATTTTCTCAAAGTATAGGGTATGATACTTGAATTATAGACGCTTGAATGACGTGGAGACTTGTATAATTTTAAAATTATATATATTTATTATTTGAATGGGCTGGCTCTCTCTCTCTCTCTCTTTCATATTTAGAAAGTGGAAATTAATGCGTCTTCTTTCTCTTTAAATTTGGATCCTTGGGGGTTTCTTAGGAGCTCTGATTTCAAGGGCGGAGCTAATGTAAGTTTATCCTCTCCCAAAATCTCTTGTGGATCAGTCTTGCTGAGTCTGAATACGATCTATTTATTTTGTTATAATTTTGTTTTTGGTAGAATTTAGCCCTAGTTTTGAAGATCTGTTTCTATATTTTACGGTGAGAATTTATGGTTTTGGTGTAATTTTTCTCTGTTATTACCAACTATATGTAAGTATTTTCTGCTTTTGTGCCATAGAATTTGCAGAAACACATTCCTCCGACGATTGCAGGGAGATTTTTCAATTTCTGTTTAAACGTTTGCAGCCCTAATTTACATTTCAATGTAATTCATCTCTCTTAACTTTTGGAGAGAGGAGAGACTAGTGAATCCATTTTTTTTTTCTTTTTTTGACATAACAACTTTCAAATCCCACCAAAAGATATTGATTGGGATCTCTTTGATTATGTAAATTTTTTATTTTAAATTTATATGTATATGTATGTTAACAAGTTGTTTGATGCTAACTCTTTTAGGGGATGTTTGGCTGCACCTAAGATTTAAGTTAAATAGGATTTAGTAAATCCTATAAATCCAGATATATTGAATCCAGATGCATTAAATCTAGAACAATGTTTGGTTTGATAAGGTTAAATCCAATTAAATCCCTTTAAAGTGTTTGGCGATGAGAGAAGACTTCCTCACTTAAGTCCGTTAAATCCACCTAAAAACCCAATGTAATAAATTCAGAGTTTTCATCAAGGTAGACAAAAATTCAAATTTAAGAAACGACAGGATTTAAGTTCTATTTTTTCGCGTTTGGCGGGATTTACGTTAATTCTGACATAAGTCTTGTTTAAATAGGTGTACCAAACACCGCCTTAGAGGGAACCTTCTAAGTGTTATTGTGATATTGGTACTTTTATTTTTGGAAGTTTTACATGCATACCTCTCAATTCCTATGAATTTACATATCTATTACCTACACTTTACTGTTTTACATGTATAGAATAGCGAAATTAACATACATACTACACAATTCTTATGTTTACATATCTAACAACCAAAATTTGATATTTCCACGTTAACACTTTGGTGTCATAAACCTCTGCACGGGAATGTGTATTTCACTTTTAAAAAGATAGAATGATGATATTTTTTTTGGTTAAAAATTTGAGTGTTATGCATGTGAATATAAATGTTGTGGTTATATATGTAAACACATATGAATTGTATGGTATGTATGTAAATGCCGCATAATGTAATGGTCTTGATGTTGTCATCTTTGATATAGTAACTTTTCTCATCTTTTACAAATTTACATCCAGATAAAAGCTCAAGTTTAAGCCATGGGGCAGCTGTTATGTTGCGTACAAATAGACCAATCCACTGTTGCTATTAGAGAGCAATTCGGAAAGTTTAACGATGTTCTCGAGCCTGGCTGCCATTGCGTCCCGTGGTTCATGGGTAGTCACATAGCTGGCTATCTCTCCTTACGATTACAACAACTAGACGTGAAATGTGAAACAAAGACGAAGGTGATTACTTTTTTTGGCTTTCATTTTACTAAATTTATGGTTACATAAGATAGTCAAACTTAGTAGGAATTATGATGATTTGCTGTTATAATATTCGATAAATAAAGTTCTTTTCATACTTTACTGGGAAAGTTAAATACATACCACATAATTCTTATATAGTTACAGATATAACACCCAACATTTGATACTTCACACTTATAACACTTTGATTTCATAAACCTATGCATGCAAAGCTGCATTTCACTTTTAGAAGACCGCGATGGTGGTATTTTTTATGTGATATTAATGTTTGAGTGGTGTGCATGTAAATGCCCCTACTTTATATTGTTATTCATTCCATTGTCTCAAGTTTGGTTGGTGATAACAGAGCAAATTGCATGTTTAAATGCTGGAATATTTACACACATACAACTTAATTCTTATTTATTTACATATTTAACACCTAAATTTCAATTTTTACATATATGCCCCCTTAACTATCCATAAAAAGGTGTATTTTACCTTTTGAAAGTTAAAATGGTGGTATTTTTTATGTGATATGGATATAAAACGTAAAATTTAGGTGTTAATTATGTCAATGCATAGGAGTTGGGTGTTATGTATGTAAATGCCCCTCAAATGTTATGTTGTTTGGTGTGAAATTTTTAAAAATGTTTCGGTTATTCTGACAAGATTTTGATGTTTAACAAATGTATTGAACAAGATCATGAGATCATGCATTGCGCCATATCATTTGAAAACCACGTTATAAAAAACTAGGGAATCTCAGTGCTGCCTAACATGTCCAAGAGTTGAGCATCTGACAGTGAAACATGACGTGCTTAGCATATTGATATATGGAAGATTTACATGCATACCATTCAATTCTTGTGTATTTACATATCTATCACCTAAACTTTACTTTTCACATTTGTACCAACTTATGTATCCGTGAAAAGGTCTATTTTGCTTTCTCTAAAAGTAACAATGATGCTATTTTTTTTATTTATTTATTGCGGTATGAAAGATTTGGGTGGCATAAGCGTAAACATCAAAGTTTAGGTGTGAGATATGATTGAAGTTCTCCACTGCGGGAGCTATTAAAGCTTTGTTTTATAAATATATGGGACATTTACATCCATAGCACACAATTCTAATGTATTTACATATCTCACACATAAACTTTCATTTTTACACACATAACACTAAAACCTTTAATATCGCATCAGAAATAGCATTATTTTCACATTTTAAAAATGAAATATACATTTTTATGCATAGGTTTAAAGCGCCAAAGTGCTATGTATGTAAATATTATGTAAATTTTGCTAAATATTTTGCTTTAATGCTTTCTAAATGAACTACTAATCATATTATCTGTTACAGGATAATGTTTTTGTCAATGTTGTTGCATCCATACAATACCGTGCGCTTGCTGGTAAAGCGAATGATGCATTCTACAAGCTTAGCAACACAAGGACTCAAATCCAGGCTTATGTGTTTGATGGTAATTTATTTGAAAATTATCTACTTGAAAGAAGTTGAAACTGTTATTTACAAACATACCACCCAATTCTTAGGTATATACATATCTAACACTTAAACTTTGCTTTTTTACATTTATACCACCATATCATTCCTATCACATAAAAAATGCGACTATTTTAACCTTTAAGAAGTGAAATACACATTTTCATGCATATGTAAGGTTGAATATATGAAAAAAATTGAAGTTTAGGTGTTAAATATGTAAATATATAAGATTTGAGCGGCATGTATGTAGATCTTGCATATATTTTACTTCACTATTTTTAATCATTTTCTTTTTATTTTATTTCTTGTAATTCCTTCAAACCTAACAAAGCCCTAGTTTTGTCATATGAAGATGAAATAAAGTTATAAAGCTCAAAATGTTGAATCTTGTTTTCCTACACTTAAAAACTTTGAGCTGCATCAGAAATTTGTTTCACAAGAATCTTTTGAATCTATTTCTCACCGCCTTTCTCATATTATCATCATGAGGCATTTACATACATACCACATGTTCTTATGTATTTACATATCTAACATCTAAATATTCATATTCACATGAACACCAGTCAATTCTTTAACATCACCACAGGTTTATGACACCTAAGTGTGTCAGATATGTAAATACATTAGAATTGTGTGGTATATATGCAAATTTCCCAATCATAATTTAAACATACTTCTGTTTTCCCACAGTAATCAGAGCTAGTGTTCCAAAACTCAACCTGGACGACGTTTTCGAGCAGAAGAACGAAATCGCGAGAGCTGTGGAAGACGAACTTGAGAAGGCCATGTCTGCTTATGGCTATGAAATAGTGCAGACTCTAATTGTCGATATTGAACCAGATGAGCATGTCAAGAGAGCCATGAATGAAATCAATGCTGGTAATTTTCTTCTTTTGGTTTTTTCTGTCAAAGCTAATTCTTCCCATTTTAGCTTCCAGATTCTTGTTTTATTGAAATTAAGGGCTTATTTGGGATCACTTTTGTTTTATATTTTCAAGCATGTTTGTTTAGTGTATTTTTTACATGATTTTTATTTTTAGGAAATTTACATGCATAGCGCACAATTATTATAGATTTACGAATCTCACCCTTATAATTTCATATTTACGTTGGTGTTTTAAACCTAGGCATGAAAAAAAGGTGTATTTCAGTTTTACAAAATGATAAGTGATATTTTTTATATGATTTTAAAGATTTGAGCGTTGTGTGTGTAAATATGAAAGCTTAGGTGTGCAATATGTAAATACATAAGAATTATGTGTTATGCATGACATGTGCTACATAAGCATTTTTGTTTTATTTTAAAAATAGTATTTGTTTAGTGTGTTTTTGTATGTTTTTTTTTTCCCAAAAACAAAGTTGCTTGCTTTTAAAAATACTCAAAATATCAAAAAAAAAATTTTTTTTTTTTAAACAAATAAACTTGTTATAACATGACAAATATGTTTTATTTCAAGTAAACATATAAACAAAATAAAATAAAAATAAAACGGAAGTTTTACATACATACCATGCAATTCTTACATATTTGCATATGCCTAAACTTAAAAGTTTTGCATTCTTACCTCCTTATTTATGCATGGAAAAACGTATTTCACTTTTTTAAGTTAAAGTAGTTTTTTTTTATGCAATATGCAAAAATTTAGGTGCTCAGTATCTAAATATATGGGAATTGGGCCGTATGTGTATAAATGCCCCCAATAATGATCCCAAACTGCCCCTAAGAATCTGCTCCAGCTTTTTTACTGACTTCAGATTCATGACTCATCCTCCCTTTCTTACATCAAAATCAAAACATAAATTCTACTAAAAATCACCCCTTTTCGTCAGCCGCTAGACTAAGGTCGGCTGCAAACGAGAAGGCGGAGGCTGAGAAAATCATCCAGATCAAGCGAGCTGAGGGCGAGGCTGAGGCAAAGTATCTGTCAGGTCTCGGAATAGCTCGGCAGCGTCAGGCGATCGTCGACGGATTGAGAGACAGCGTGTTGGGATTTTCCGTCAACGTGCCCGGAACAACGGCAAAGGATGTGATGGACATGGTCCTCGTCACGCAATATTTCGACACCATGAAGGAGATTGGAGCCGCCTCCAAGAGCTCGGCGGTGTTCATCCCTCATGGACCTGGAGCTGTTCGAGACGTCGCCGATCAGATCCGAGACGGGCTGCTCCAAGCGAATCGGGTCTAGTAAGTTTGCTTGGTTTCTAAAAGGCATGAAAAAACTACCACCATGAATTTTAAGATGCTTTTTTTTGTTTCAGTTCTGTGATTATTATAGTGGGAGTTTTGTGTGAAATTGTGGAGCAGGATCTGCTTTTAACTGTGAATTTGAATGATTTGTGTATTTTCTTTATCGAAGTTTGGCTGTTACAGTTGATCTTATGTTACTCAATTAACATTGTGATTAGTATAAATGTATGATTTGAAGATTTGCATACGTACCAATCAATTCCTATGTATTTACATATCTAACATGTAAGGTTCAAAATTCAAATGTTTACGTGCATGCCACCTTGCTATGCATGAAAAAGGTGTATTTCAGTATTTAAGTTAAAAGGCTGCGAACTTAAATTTTCATATTTACGTACATAGCACAAATTTCTTATGTATTTACATGTCTCACGCACATAATTTTTTATATTTACACACATAGTGCAAACACCTAAATATTACATAAATAGCACAAACTTCTTATGTATGTACATATCTTAAGCCTAAATTTCTTATGTATTTACATACCTTAAGCCTAAATTTCTATATTTATATACATATTACTTTTGCATTCACATATCTCACACCTAAATTTTCAAACGTAGCACAAATTTCTTATGTATTTACATATCTTATACCTAAATTTATGAAAAACCATGAAATTCATATAAATTACATACATAACAATGAAATACAAAAAAAACTTGTGCAAAAGCTATGTATTTTCGGATCTAACACCTATGCAAGGAAAAAATAAATGAAAACTAATGCTAAATCAAAGCTTGAAGGTGTGGAAGAAGATTTTTCACCTTGGACGCGGTTGGAGGGATGATCAGACATGGATTAGGTGGAGGAGCTCAGAGGAGATGGAGCTGACGAACGAAAGAGCAATGAGATTAGGGTGCGAAGTGGAGCTGCTGTTCGCGTGACGACACTAACGGACGCTAATCGATCGCTAAATTTGCGTTGAAAATTATTCTAGCGCTAATTCACAGTTTTTTTATAGTTAATAAGAAGCCACGAGCCGAGTTCAAGCTAAAACTTGAGCTCATTTATTAAATGAGCACGAGCTTGAGCTCATCTCGGTTGGGCTCATTGGCTTGCGAGCGGGCTCGATTAGCCTGACGTTAGTCATTTGAATGCATTTTTGGGTGAGCTACTGCTCCATCATCCTCCTCCCACCGCCAATACCTTCTCCAATGAGTTTAAGCAAAAATTGAATTTTTAGTTCGAGCTCACGAGCAGACTCACAAGCCAACCGCTATCACTTTGAGCCGAGCTTGAGCTTGTTATTCAAGCTCGACTTGAGCTCAAGCTCACAATTTGGCAAACGAGCCAAGCTCGAACCTGACATGGCTCGAGCTCGGCTCCACTCAGCTTATGCACTACTGCATATTTGAGATAGCATCAATCGTATGCACAAAAGAGTATCATAGTTTGCATTGGAGATATTACACATCACTTTGTCGCAAGAGAGAATTGAAGCTCATGAAGAGAGAATTGATAAGCATCACGAGCTTTTCCTTCACATTAGAGGCATTCATACTTGAAGAAATGAAGAACAATTATTAACATTGGATCAAGAGATATAAAATCAAAATATGAAAGTTACACTGAATTTCTATTATGAAAGTCATAAACATTAGAGAAATATGATTATAAACTTTAAAAAAAGTTAGATTATTTAAAAATAATGACAAATTGTTTTTTTCCTCAAAATTATTATACCAAGACAAATATTGACATTTAAAGCACAAATAAACTTCCATTAAAAGTTCACCATCAAAATACATTACAAATCCACACAAAAACAAAATCAAAAGCACTATACAATTCCTACCAAACCTTTATAAACATAAGAAATCAAACACACCAACTGCTGAAAATAAACCAACTCTGACTCAATGAAAAGCACCACCCTGAAGAAGACCATCCTTGACCTGGGCGGCGACATCCCTCACAGCTCCCGGGCCGTGGGGGATGAAGACGGCGGAAGACTTGGAGGCGGCACCGATCTCCTTCATGGCGTCGAAGTACTGAGTGATCAACACCATGTACATGACATCCTTGGCCGAAGTTCCGGTCACATTAGCAGAGAATGCGAGAACGTTGTCTCTGAGTCCGTCGACGATGGCCTGACGCTGGCGAGCTATGCCGAGCCCGGCCAGGTATTTCGATTCAGCCTTGCCTTCCGCCTTCTCGTTAGCCGTCAGCCTCAGTCTCGCCGCTATATCATCAATGACCATTCAACTTAAATTCAGTTTTACTAAATCTAGGAGTAAGGTGAACTTATTAGATTTATGATTTGCAATTTAAGGACAAAAATCAAAAGTGATCCCGAATGGTCTTTAAATTTTTAAGTTTTATAACATGTCCATAAATCTATGGATTGATTGTGAGTTGAGAAAAAAAGACTTGCCTGCATTTATCTCATTCATAGCCCTCTTCACATGCTCATCAGGCTAAATATCCACAATGAGTGTCTGCACCATCTCATATCCATAAGTCGACATTGCCTAAAAACAGAATTGTCAAAATCACCCCCAAAAAAATGGTATTTACATACATACCGTATAATTCTTTCTTTATTTACATATCTAACATCTAAACATTTATATTTACATGCATACCACTTAAATCATCATTATCTTATTAAAAGTAATAAAAAAAAAAAAAACATTTATATACATAGCTTTATAACACCAAGCTGCTATAATTATAAATATCAAACTTGAGGTGTTAAATATGTTTTTTTTTAATTTTATCAAACAAGAAAATATTACATGTGCGTTAGGAGTATAATGGTAGAGCGTCACGTGCAAAGCGGGCTTCGCTGCAATACATTGGCCAATGCCAGTGTTAAGAATGACGGGTCTGCTTGACATGTGGCACCACATTATGCTCCCAATGAATGAAGCGCTATCATCTCTATCATGAAACAATCGCGATTATTGGTAGCGGCAAAAAGAAAAGAAGGGATTGCAGCATACAAAGGTCTTCAAAGCTCTCACCGCAAGAAGCGATCACCCCACAAATTCACTGTCCTGTTTCTTCCACTCCCTGCCTTCTGCTGTTCCTCTTATACCGCAAACCCACACAGAAGCCACACAATCCCGATTCATATAGAGCCGACCGCCCTCTTCTCTTCGTCTTCTATTGCTCAATCCGACCACACCGAAGCCGAAGCCTCCCTGTTCGCAGAAGAAACCCTACCCTCGCTGCTGCCGCCTCTTCGTTTAAGCCCCTTGTCACTTCATCCTTCCCATTCATGTGGGTTAATCGAAGGCTCTCGCACTTCTTACAAACTGGTGGCTTAGAAGACACTCTTATAGCCGCAAACACCCCGATGCACCCCCTAAACAGGGAGGATGCCAGGAGACTGCTGAAATTGTGCGTGATCTTGGACATGCAACAAATAAACTTAAAACAAAATTGTCATCGGATTTACAATATATCTGAAGCCTGTTATAACGTAAATTAATAGAATTTATGACAAAACTTCTCGAGGATTCAACATGTGGACTACCGGCTATAACGATGTGATGCCAGTTCTAAGATAACTCGAGTCAATGTGACTACTTACCAATGGGACATCATGAATCTCACGAGGATGCACATCAACAAACAAAAAACTCACCTAGAATTATTATAGCCTTTATATTTCTAATAAATAACCCAACTAATGAGTTAACTTGAACTTTTAGAATTGAGCTTATGCTCAAATCTGATTAATTATTCAAGCTCAAACTTATGCTCAAGCCAGAGATAACTTGAGTTGGACTCCTCCCTTTTACCAAAAATTTTTCTGTGCGGACTCCTAACGTAGCTCTACGTGCGGCGCAGGGTATTATTAAGTTATTTTCAGGTTATTTCTAGGTTATTTTCAATAATCTTGAAATAACCCAGAATTAACCCAAAAGTAAAGACCGTGGGTTATTTCTGGGTTATTTTGGAATTATTGAAAATAACCCAGAAATAACCTGAAAATAACTCAGGAATAACCTGCACCGTACGTAAAGGTAGATAAGGTGTCCGGACAGAAAATGCGCGCCCCTTTTACACCCCTAAATGATACTCAAAAGGAAACATTATAGGTTTTTTTTTTCTTTTAATATACTTTAATGATAAAAATTTATCCGAGATGATTTTATGATTATAAGTAGGGCATAAAATCATATACAGATATTAGCTGCACACGTGGATCCATGACCAAGTACCTAGATCAACATGCTGTAATATCTTCATAGCCTAATTTAATTAAATCTACAATTAAAAAATCCTAGTCAAATGAAAATACAAAAGTAACAATTATTGATCCACAAGTTTTGAGAAATCAGATTACAAGAATTCTGATAAAGGAGGATATGACCAATACTCCGTGCCAATAAGATCACAAAAAGCCAAACTAAGATACACAAACCGAACGAATTCCGCTAGAATTCATCAGAAATGAGTTAGAAATACAAACCCTAGATCAAAACCAACCAAATGTAACAGACAATGACGCCGACTTAACAACAACTTAAATGGATCAAAATTAAGGGGAAAAAAAGCACGACTATGAGACCCAGCAATCAAAATCGCAGAAGAGGAAAGTGAAATTAAGCAATGAGAAGGGGCGATGCTTACAGGAAGAAGAAAGCCTGAGATGCACAGATAGTTCACGTCGTAAACATTCTCGCGGCTGCTTATAAATTTTCTGATAAACTTTTGGGGCAGATATATTAATATCACCCAATTCTTATCGTATTTACATATCTTCCTTCTACATTTTTCTTTTTATCTTTATACCACTGATTATAATTGACGGTCGTTCGTTGATAAAGATGTAAGCGAGCTTAGATTGGACTCGTGTTCGGCTCGTTCGAAATTATTCGTGTTTGAAATCGGCTCGTGAACAGTATATTCGTGTTCAGCTAAATTTAAATATTTGTGTTCATATTAGATCCGAGATTAACTCGTTAAAATTAAACTGAAAAAATAGATATAAAGTGTTGGATTCGAACATGAACCACATATATGTAAAACAATGCACAATTACGATTTAAACTTAAATATAAATATATATAATATATTATTATAAAAAAATATATAATATATTTTTATATAAATATTTATATATATATATATATATTTTTATTTCGAGCTGAAATGGGCTGAACATGAGCGAATAAAGAGTTGTTCATGTTCCGCTCGTTTACAACTCGAGTTTTAATAACTTATTCAACCAATCAAATACGAGATACTTAACTATTCAAACACGAACTATTTGCAGTTTTTTTGACTCAATGATAATTTTGTAAATATCACCCAATTCTTATACATTTAACACTAAAATATTGTAATAAATATCACCCAATTCATCCAACGTACAACATCTGCATGCATCAGCGTGGATTCATCGTGGCCGTAAAACATAAACCGCATTAGAACAGCCGTTGATCTTCTGCAATGTCGTCGATAAATAGGGTCGGCTTCCCTGGTTTATCAATCGCCTCCTTCTAAGCTAGGGTTTGCATCTCTACGTCTCTCGAGGAGATCGAGATCAGCTGCCTTGATTCTCTTGAGGTATGGATCTTTCTCTGTTTGTTTTACTTAGTTTCTCTGTTACATCACAGGGTATCTGAGGGCTTACGAGCACTCATGGTACGATTTCATGGGGAGTGCCTGGTGTGCTTCGGAGTTTCCAGATCTGGCGAGATCGGGTGATTTATTGAACGAGACGAGGACGTTCTGTCCCGGTGGAAGAAGGCTTTCGTATTTACGAATCAGGCTGGCTAAGGATGGCGTATGTACTTTGTTTTATGTAATACTGAGAAATATAGATAGGTGATCTATATGTGGATGACCGAGAAGGACAGAGAGCTTGGATTGTCAAGGAGGTGACGGATGATGTTCAATGTGTTATCAGATGTCTCACATGTTGTCATGACGGCCTTTGCCTTGTTGGGTGCGCTCGCATGGCAGGCCAAAAATCCTTAATAAAATTAATCTTCTTGTGGGGGATGGGAGATCGTACGGGGTGATTTTGAGCCCTGGGTTCTCCCTTGTGCGTCGTCTCTTTACTTTTCCCATGCTCTCTGCAACTCGTCTTGGTACCACGCGCAGCTCATGCTCTCTTCTCAACCACGTAACTTAAATCGTGTGAGGTAGTCTTCAACAAATTTTAGTTACTACTATTTGCACCGATGAGACGTGAATCAAAGAATTCTATTTAAGAATTAAAGGTTTTTAATGCTCGGCCAAACCGATTCAATGACGTGATTTTCTTCTTCGAAGGTAATTTACGAGCTCTTCTTTTTATTGATGCAGCGGTGCGAGTTATAAATCTCGGCTCTATCAGACCAATAGTTAAACTTTCTTTATGAGATGGTTTTTGCGGATCTGATGATCTTCTGAAATTTATGAAGATATTTTTAACAGTATCAATTGCAGCTGAAAACATACCTTTATACTGTATTTTAAATGAATTTAATGGAAGATCTTCTGTCAATTGTTTAAAAGCTAGTATTACCAATATCTACAGTATTTTGAAGGATTATCATTGCTCAATAGCGGGAGGGATCTACCCCTAAACTATGAATTAAATCACAGCGTTATTACATATTTCTACAGTGCTTTTTGATCCCAGACATGTTGCTATATTTGTTTGGCATGTAAATAATAATTGTAATGTTGTCTAAACTCTAGTTTTTCAATTTTTTTTTTAACTTTATTGGGGAACCTTTGAAGTTGTTTAATAAGATCTTTCATCAAGCGGATGGTAAGTGCTGCTACTGAATACTGGATTGTTGGATTTGATGCTGCTTCTGTTCATCGAATTGTCAGTTTTGACAGAACCAAATTCGAGGGGGCGGAAGAAGTTAATTACTTGGATCGACAAGAAGAAGCGGAAGGAAATGATTCCCAGTACTCAAGCTTTAGTATGATCAATTGATCTTTTTGGTTCGAATTTTATCATTTATCGTGTTTTTAAGTAACTAATTAATGCTTTATTATATTCCCTTTTTAATCATTGATGTCTGGAGCATTTTCTTAATGATTTACAGCGACATATGGCTGTTTTGATATGTTATTTTAGACTTGTCGTTTTATGATGATTAGAATGAGTGGGTATTTTTGTATTTTGCTTTTTATCTTATCATTATTTTTAGCATAAGTTTTTGATATGGGTATGAAGCTCATATAAATTGTGTGGTGTTAACACATTACTCCCTGTTTATACTCTTCTATCTATTGTTCTCTCGGTCTTTAAGCTCAAAATGGTAGAGCGCTCAAAATTTGGTTTGGCATGCGCCATTCAGAGTTTGAGGGGATGGTGGTTCGATTCCACCAAGATCACCAATACTTGCTTACTATCTGCTGCAGGTTTAATGTGAATTTAAATGAGATATGTTTGGGAACAAAACAGAATGACAATTTTATGAAGAACTTCTGCCGCAGGAACATCTCGTTGGCCGCGATTCTGTCTCTGCGTTTAATCCCCGATTACTCTGCTGCCCTCGCCTGGCGAGCAATATTTCTTCATTCCCTTTCCTTCTCGTTTTTTGAACTGCACTTTGAGGGAAGTAAGTTAGCCCAACCAAAAAATGGAGGAAATATTTCTACTCTGTCACCGATATTTGGTGTTCTTGAGGAAGATGCCTTGCAATTTTTTTTATTGGTTTTTAGGTGATCTCAAGGCTTTTGTTTTACTTTCAATTATGCTTTTATTGGTTTTTATGTTTTTTCTTTGTCATGGCTTTGTTTTACTTTCAATTATAAGCTATAAAAACTTGTGGATTTGTTTAACGTCATATTCATTTGATAGATACAAGTATAAATGACAAATTTATCAATTTGATCACCTCCTTATGATCGATTAGTTGGTTATATTGGTGAGGTTCAACTGGGTTTGGAAGAGATGTAAAATGGGATCCCAATAAGGTAAAATTGATTTTTTTCCTTTTCTTGCTATGAATGATGTGTTTCCTTTTTGTCCTTTCTTTAATGTAATTCATGAGTGTATTCTTATATGAATTAATAACACTATCGACATGACTTTTTTATCACTTCTGTTTTCTTTTCATTTCCATTTATTCAATCAACTACTTTCGACCAACATTGGCCTAACGGTCTGCAGACCTTCAAATCTATTCAGCTTTCAAAAGTTATTTCAAGACATACCCATACTTCAATTAGTAGCAAGAAATATATATGGATACCTGTATTTGTTATAGAACATAAATGGCTAGAAAGAAATACACTTATATGGATACTTCTATATGGATACTTCATTTGCTAGAAAGTAATGCACCTTTTCACATACAGGTTGGGTGACATGAATGTAAAGTTTGAAGCTTAGGTGGTAGATATGTAAACACATAAGAATTGAGTGGTATGTGTTTGATAAGCTTCCTTGGTAATAACGTCGACCGAGTAATGCTCTTGACGTCAACTTGACGTCAACTGAAGTTAGAAAAAGTTTGAAGTTTCTTGTAAGGTTTTGCATGGCTCTTTTAGGTTGGAATAGTCAATTGGACTTTTATTGGTAACAATGGTGATGGTAAGGCTTTGGGATGAATGATGAACTGGGAACTCATCCTTGTAGCCCATTCATGAAGAAAAAATGAGTTAATCCTTGTTGGACATATTGAGGATTTCTATTGAGGATATCTCTGTGGTCCAATGTTGCATAATTGATTTTAGCTCGTTACCCCTGATGCAAAAGTATATAGTTGAATCTCTCCAACTGAACACTGCAGTGGATGAATTGGGTGGTATGTTTGGAGAAAATTTAAAATGAGATGCTTTCTTGGCTTCAAGTTTCCACAGATTGCGGGTTTTGCTTATTAAAAGATGAATAAAATTTATGTGTCGTTGAATGGAATGCTTATTATAACCTACCAAGTGTGGAGCAGTTTGGACGACCTCAGAATTTTGTTCTCGGGAACCATTGCTATCATGCTTTGGTAGTTTGAAAAGTGCTTGCAAGAGGAAAACATTATTTGGACCCCAAAGATATCCACAGTAGTTCAATATATTATCAACTGCTGTAGTTGCCAATTGTACTGTTATATTTTGAAAAATTTGCATTTATATATTTTCATAACAAATCATTAACAGTCGTGACATGCTTCTAAATTTTAAAATGAATATTGTCCTTGTAATTTTAACATATTAATTCTTCTATTTTTTATGTTTCATGATACTCACTATTATGTGAGGTCTATATCTTTTTTGCACTGTTATGAAGGGCTTGGATTGATTGTAAAATTTTCTAATGAGTAGACATTACAATTTTGTTAAAAACATTACAACTTCTGCGTGCCAGATTGTTCATTTTCCTAACAAAAAAATTCAAATAAGCTGTTTGTAAAACGTACAAATAAAACAGCTACACAATTTATTCAAAGCAAGAGCAGAATGGTCATTTATTTAGAATCAACTGTTTTTAAACGCAAAAATCAAACTGTCAGACAGTTTATCTAGATCAGCTGGATAAGCTGCTGCTGCCCCAAACAGACCCTTGGAGTAGTCATCCGATTGATGAGCGAAAGAAGGGGATTATTGAGGATGTGATTGAGTTGGGGTTCGTGAAACAGTAGGGAGTGTGAAAAGTGGTGAAGTAATGGGAGTGGTTGGAGATGTAGTTGATAGAAGATTGAGTTGGGGGAGGGCTATTTGTATCTTTTGGTGGGTTATGATATCCTAGGAATGTACATTGGAATCAAGTTTGTTGTAGTGTTGTGGAGGAATCTAGCGGAAACATGCGCACCCGATGGTGCGGAGAATGGTGTAATCTGGTGGAGTTTTGTGGAGTAATTGGTAGGGTGATTTGTTGGATGTGTTGGTGGAGAGCTTGTGGTTTATGAAATAATTGGCGGCTAGTATGGTGTCGGGCCACCAGAAATTTGAGAGGTTAGAGTTAACAAATAGTATTATGGTGGTTTCAAGTAGATGGCTATGTTTGTGTTCTGCAAGTTCATTTTTGTTCAGTTATATAAGGACATGAGAGCTGATGGGTGATGCGTTTGGATTGTTGTAGGTTATGAAATTGATTATATTTGTATTCCCTACCAATGCCTAATTGAAGGCATTTAAATTGAGCGTTAAATTGTTTTTTCCACCATTTGTTTAAATTAAATGAAGTCGATAATAGTTTCAAATTAAAGAGTCATTGGATAAAGCCAAGTACAGCGAGTAACATCATCGATAAATAAAACTTGCAATTTGTATTCTTGAACAGAGGTGGTTGGGGAAAGTCCCCTTAGATCGGAGTGTACAAGTTCTTAGGTCCCGTTTGGGGGGTATTTCTTCGCGCGACACGATGCCCCCTTGCAAAACTCATTTGTTTGGGGTGTCAATTTAATCACGGCGGCCCCGAGGCGCAGCGTAATGCAGGCCGCGGGATCCTTCCTGCGGTCCGCTTTTACTGGGTGCTTTCCTTCTTACTTTCCTTCTCCCGATCTTATTCACCCCTTATTCACATTTTTTGTTTTTTTTTATGCCGACCTTCGACTCAACGGCAAAGAAGCTGCTGCTGCCCTTAAAAGAGAGAAACCACGGAAGTATATTTACTCTGCTCGTCTTCCACCGCTTGGATGGGAGAAGCCACAAAGAGAAGAAAAGAGTGGATCGAATCAAATCTAATCCTCCTCCTCAGCGTTCCTTTTCTGAACATTTTTTTTCTTTTTTCTTTTTTAATTTTCTTAGAGAAGCAAGAGTGGACTTGCAAGTCATTTATGCAAATATGCAATGGCTCCACACTACAGAAACTCAGAAAGGGGAAGACAACAGAGAAGCAAAGAATCTCAATAATTCGTATGACCAATCTCAACTTGCCAGTCATGGGGAGGAAGAGATGCACTGAAGAATGGAGCTGCCGAGAAGAATGTCTCCACACTGTAAAAAATCAGAAAGGGGAAGCGAAGATTCTCAATAATTCATATGACCAATCTCAACTCGTGAGTCATGGGGAGGAGGAGATGCACCGAAGAATGGAGCTGCCGCGAAGGCTATTTCTTTCGCTCATTGGATCGACCTTTATTATTTCCATGACAGCTGTTCTCCTCCGCTTCACCTCTATTTCACTTTTAATAAAAGTTGTATTTTTGTTGTGTTATGAAAGATTTGAGTGGTATGAATGTATAAAGCAAAATTTAAGTGTTAGATATGTAAATTCATAGGAATTCAGTGGTATGTATGCAATTACCCCTCTTTTTTGAACTTTTTGCTCAATTCTGAATTGATGTTATGTTGCTTTGGCTTTAGAGATGCATCACTTACATTTGTTTGTGGGAATTTTACAGGTAAGCTATTTTGTTTTATGAAGATATTGCTTGTTAGTATGAGTTTGATTGATATCTACTTTTGGTATTGCTTTTCTAATATATGTTGAGAAGTTATGCATAAATTTAATATGCATAAAGAGATAGTCAATTGAAATTTTCTTAAACTTATACAAATGCATTTTTCGTGGTATATATGTACATTATATATATATATATATATTGTTGAATGTCATTGTGGTGCATTTCTTTTTTGTTTTGTTGTTACAAGGTGTATCCAAATCCCGCTGAGTTTATTTATGTTTTTATTGATAATGAGGTTATCCATAAACTATAGTCAATGTGATGTGCTTTGTATGTTCTCTAGAGGTGTGACTTCTATTGGAAGCAGTTCTCATAGTTATGTTAGTTATGTTAATGACATTTTAAATGAAAGTTTCAGCACAGGCATAAAGTTTGTTGTAGCTTATCCATCTTATAATGGTTGTGCAGAAAGGAACTCTCCCTCTCTCTCTCTCTCTCTCTATCTATCTCTCTCTCTCTCTCTCTCTCTCTCTCTCTCTCTCTCTCTCTCTATAGCTACTGAGTTGTGCACTCTTTTGTAAATTGAAAGCTTTTGGAACGTACAAATAATTTGCACTCGAGCATCGTTTTGTAAGCACACGGAGAAATGCAGATTTGGACTATATGCTTTTAATTTGCACGGTAGCATAACTTAAAAGGGCATTTGGAATATATACAAATTTGAAGGTATCTGGAATATGTGCAAGTTATTTTATTGTTTTCTTATAGTTATTAAAGTTTAGTTGTTAGATATGCAAGCACAAATGAATTGTGTGGTATGGTGTAAAAGATTCATTTCTCTCTTATGTTGAGTGGTATGTATGCAAATTTTCATACAAGGGTGTAAGCTCTGCTAAGTGGATGTATAATGCAGATTTAATGTCCAATTTGGAGTACATCAGTCTGAACAGGTGCTTGATTGTAAAGTCCATTGGAATGAAAAGGATTATATGTTTCCATCGTTTGAGGTGTATTATAGTAAGGGATAAGTATTGGATGATTGGTTTGATGAAGGTGTAGTAGCATATGACTATTTCTTTCCTTGCTTAATAGTAAGGGATTACAAGTAAAGAGGAAAGAAGTTTTTATTTGATGCTGTTGCAGGAATTGAAAGTATATTTTTCAAATTTGAATTCGTTTTTTCTCGTATTGGGCATTTACATACATAACACAATTTTTTTGATACTCATTGTGACGTGAGTTGAATATCTGTAATTTTGAATTGTTTTTATTTAACTTTTTTCTTAGAAGTATCAAATTTATGACTTCTGAGATTGGCTAAAAAGTTTAAGTCTATTTTTTACATTTTTAGCTTGTAAAGTGAATCTCAGCTTCTGTTGTATCATATATAAAACTGTCAGTATTCTGTTCCAAATAATTTAACTAAATAGGGGCAGAATTGTCAATTTTTAAGAAACAGTTGCCCCACAGATATTTCCATATAGCTGCAACAAACAACCAACTAGTTTTCCCGTAGCAGCTTCTCCATAGTAGTTTCCTGGGTGCAGCTGAAAAGCTAGAAAGCTGCAGCTGCGCCAAATAGAGCCTTAGGGTCTATGGATATGATTGTGAGAAGAGGAAAAGCTCAACTTTAGATGCATTGCTATAATGTAAGAATTACAAAATGGGGCTTTCTTAGGCATACATAGAGTAGGATATTGTTTTTAAATAAGCACAGTTGTGTTGTTGTTGATGTGGTCAACTCTTTGATGCCATACTTCATATCATATGTGTGGGTTAAGATCATGGCTTGCTTAGGAAGAGTTGGTAGAATTAGGTAGAGTCTATTGCGACATGGCCCTTGTAGAAGTTTTTGAGTAGTCCAGTTCTTGATTTGGTAAATGGAGGGGTCAAAAGTATCCACGGTTCTAATCTAACAACCTCCACGGTTCCACTTTAATATTTTCTTAGGTGGACTCGATGTAGAACAGATGACAACATATTACTAGAGTCTGCACGTACTCCATATGAAAAAAAATTTTCATTATTTACTGACTTCAAAATCATTACTCATCCCCCCTTTACATCAAATTCAAAACATAAATTTGACTAAAAATCACCCCTTTTCGTTAGTCGCAATACTTGGTTTGGCTGTGAATGAGAAGGTCGAGGTCGAGAAGATCATCCAGATCAAGCGAGCTGAGGGCGAGGCCGAGGCAAAGTATCTATCAGATCTCAGATTACTCGACAGCGTCGTGCGATCATCGACGGATTGAGAGACAGTGCATTGGGATTTTCCATCAACGTGCCTGGAACAATGACAAAGGATGTGATGGACATGGTCCTCATCACACAATATTTAGACACCATGAATGAGATTGGAGCCGCCTCCAAGAGCCCGGCGGTGTTCATCCCTCATGGACTTGGAGCTGTTCGAGACATCGCCGATCAGATCCGAGATGGGCTGTTCCAAGCTAATCGGGTCCAGTAAGTCTGCTCTAAAAGGTCTGAAAATCACTACTGCTGCCATGAAATTTAAGATGCTTTTTTTGTTTTGTTTCAGTTCGGTGCTTAATATAGGAGTTTTGTTTGAAGTCGTGGAGCAGGATCTGCTTTAACCATCAATTTGAACGATTTGTGTATTTTCTTTATCTAAGTTTGATTGTTACAGTTGATCTCTTACAAATCAATTCCTATGTATTTACATATCTAACACCTAAGCTTCAAAATTCTAATTGTTGCCTGCATACCTTCTTATAATGCACGAAATTCTCTAATCTTGCCAATATTTTGTTTGACAAGTAGTTTTATGAATATATATTATCTCTAACTGTCTTCACCAATCTTAAATTAAGTCCAATAAGCCTCGCATTGATCCTAATTGATCAACTATTCAAATTCAATTCATGGTAGAAGATGTTGGTTTAATTAATGTCATGATTTTCAATCAATCTCAATTACGTAGCTTTGTGAATGTTTTATTCATCTCCCAATTGAGAACTAGGGTTTCTACAATTAAGAGTGTCAGATAAAGAGTATTGTTAGCTTTCATCAAGTCCAATTAAAAGATATAACCCTAAAAAAATTGATGCTTATGTTTTAATTAATGTTAGGTTTTCAAGCAAGTTTGTAATTAAACTAATCAACTTGGCCAATGCTACCAAAATTCGTTCAATTTGAATCTAATCAAGCCCAGACTAGGCCATTAAAGCATTTTTGGAGTTTTTGGATTGTCAATTAAATGATCAAATAAACTTTAAATTTGTAATATTTATATTTAAATAGAGTGTCTCGACGAGAGAAATCCAATGAGCTCAGGATACTCACTTTTGAGATCATTAAGTCATTCAATCATCAAAAAAATCATCAATGATTAAGGGATCAATATATACTATCTCATCAGGTCGTCAAGAAAGTTAAATAATCAAAAAGCTCATATTTGACGATAACTTTCAGCCTACGTGCATGTCGACCACCATCAACTATCACTTTTGGCCGCCATTGGCAACCCCTCCTTGCTAACGTCGTATCCTAATTATGGTCTATATTATATCTTCCAACTTTCATAGTCGCCAACCACCGTCGATCAAGCCATCGTCAACCACCACAAGCCAGCCCTGCTTGTCGTCGTCAGCCACCCCTACTTATTAACGTCGTATCCCAAAGACAGTTGTATAACACTGAATTGGAGACCCTGCTCTCTGCCTTTGAAAACCCTAATTTCTAATATTGTATCCCAAACGATCCTAATGTATAACGCAATATTGAAGACCAAACAATAACTTTCGGCCTTCGTAGCCGCCTACAACCACTCGTCAGCCATTGTGGCCCACCGTCATCAACCCTTGTTCGCCATCATCGATGATGCTTATTTACTATTGATGTATCCAAACACTTTTGTAACATATAACATTATATGGAACCAAAGATAACTTCCGACCTCCGTAGCCACTTACTACCTTAGCCAATGTAAACTACTTCCAGTTGCCATTGTCTGTCGTCCTCGGTGATCCTTGCTAATGTTATGTCTCAAATACAATCGTAACATATAACACCATATTGAAGACCCGACGATAGCCTCCGTAGTTACTGACCACCGACGACCGCCACCACTTACCGTTGTTGATCACCTGTCACCAGCTTCCACTACATACGAACGTTGTAGCTCAAATATGACAGTTGTACCTAGTTGTTGTATCTTTATTTACATTGTATATTAACAAATGCAGTGTTCTGTGTAAAATTGTAACCCCGTTCTGAGATAAGGGGCCTAATCACTGACTATGGCTTAAGCGACCAACTACTTCTACAACTTTTAATTATGTCTTCTATAGCCAACTGACATTATTACTCCTCAATTACAGCCTCTGTTGCCAACTGACCCTATTTGAACCCCCAACTACGATCTATATGACCAATTACTGCTACAACTTTCAACTACGACCTCTATGACCAACTGACAATGTTCTAGTCACCAACTATGGCCTCCGTGACAAACTAACGCTATCGTAGTCACCAACTATAACATTTGTAACCAAATGTATATATTACAGTCACCAACTACGACCTCTATGGCCAACTGATGAGTGATGATAGTGCAGCTTCCAACCACAACCTTTATGACCAAGTGCAGCCTGTGCAACAACTAACTACAACCTTTGTGGCTAACTACCACTATTACAATTTCCAACTGCAACCTCTATGGTAAAATGTCACTATTACAACCATCAACCACTACCTTCATAATCAATTACATTTTTTGTAGCCCAATTGCACCTGTTATAGTCGAACTACTATTATACATTTGTGATATGAGGATTGTAATTTCATCTTCCCTAGTCCATTAGAATTGTTGAACTATTTACCTACAAACAAACAGTGGATTACTTTACCTGAGCTAGATCTCGTTGTTTTCTTCCTTCCAATATCACTTTACCACATCAAATTTTCCAGCACGCAACGACTATAATGCAAAGATTGATAATTCATCAATTCTCATTATTTTCTTATTTTAATTCAATTAAATTCATACAAAAAGAAATGTAGATTCATGAATAAGACAAATAACAAGTTCTATTATTCAATTTACATTGTGTCTATAAACTTATCATATCATTACCAAAGATTTGCCCACCTCAAAAAAAAATTTGTTTTCCTCAAATTATTATACCAAGACAAATATTGACATTTACAGCACAAATAAACTTCCATTAAAAGTTCACTATCAAAATGCATTACAAATCCACACAAAAACAAAATCAAAAGCACTATACAATTCCTACCAATAAAAACCATTAGCTTTTCATACAAATCCACACAATTTTACATAAAAATTGAGTGATATAATAAACTTCCATTAAAAGTTCACCATCAAAATACATTACAAATCCACACAAAAACAAAATCAAAAGCACTATACAATTCCTACCAAACCTTTATAAACATAAGAAATCAAACACACCAACTCAAACCAACCCTGAAAACCCCACTCAATGAAAAGCACCACCCTGAAGAAGACCATCCCTGACCTGGGCGGCGACATCCCTGACAGCTCCGGGGCCATGGGGGATGAAGACGGCAGAAGACTTGGAGGAGGCACCGATCTCCTTCATGGTGTCGAAGTACTGAGTGATCAACACCATGTCCATGACATCCTTGGCCGAAGTTCCGGGCACATTAGCAGAGAATGCGAGAACGCTGTCTCTGAGTCCGTCGACGATGGCCTGACGCTGTCGAGCTATGCCGAGCCCGGCTAGGTATTTTGATTCAGCTTCGCCTTCCGCCCTCTTTATCTGTAGGATTTTCTCCGCTTCCGCCTTCTCGTTTGCCGCCAGCCTCAGTCTCGCCGCTATATCGTCAATGATTATTCAGCGTAAATCCAGATTTACTAAATCTCGGAGTAAGGTGAATTTAATAGATTTATGATTTTCGATTTTGAGGACAAAAATCAAAAGTGATCCCGAACGGATTATAAATTTTCGAGTTTTATAACATGTTCACAACTCTATGGAATGATTGTGGGTTGAGAAAAAAAGACTTGCCTGCATTTATCTCATTCATAGCCCTCTTCACATGTTCATCAGGCTCAATATCCACAATGAGTGTCTGAACTATTTCATATCCATAAGTCGACATTGCCTAAAAACAGAATAGTCAAAATCACAAAAAAGAGGTATTTACAAACATACCGCATAATTCTTATTTATTTACATATTTAACATCTAAACATTCATAGTCACATGCATACCACTTAAATCATCATTATCTTAGTAAAAGTAAAAAAAACACATTTCTATTCATAGGTTTGTAACACCAAGCTGCTATAATTATAAATATCAAACTTCAGGGGTTAAATATGTTAAAATACATAGAAACTTTGTGGTTTGTATGTAAATTTTCAATTCTAAAGAGTTAGAAATGATATTTTTGGAGGAAAAATACCTTTTCAAGCTCATCTTCCACAGCTTTTGCAATATCATTCTTCTGCTCAAACACAGCATCTAAGTTTAATTTTGGAACACTAGCCCTGATTACTGCAGCAGAATAACATATTATTATGAATTTTTTTTTTGCCTAAAAAAATAAACTCAGATATCTTTCATGTCTTACCATCAAAAACATATGATTGAATTTGCTCTCTTGTGTTGCTGAGCTTGTAGAAGGCATCAGCTGCCTTGTTTGCCAGTGCACGGTACTGTACTGATGCTACAACTGTAACAAAAACATTGTCCTGGTTTCCCAAGTAGAAAATATATAAATAATCATTATGTTATTTGAACAGATTTGAAATATTATGATATGAAAAAAGAAGATTTACATACATAACACTCAATTCCCATGTATTTACATATCTAACAAAACTTCAGTTTTTACATATATGCCACCTTGATTATACATTAAAAGGTGTATTTAACTTTTTTTGAAGTTATAATAGTGATATTCTTTGTGTGATATAAATAATTTGGGTGATATAAATGTAAAAAGGCGAAGATGCTAGATATGTAAATACATAGAAATTGGGTGATATGTATGTAATTGCCACAATTTAATTATTGTAACTTTATTTACACAAATGTGTTCTTGGAATATTCATAACTCAGCTCCTAGAACATGCGAATTAGACAGCCAATTCAAAAACTAGAACAATCAGTCTCTGGAGTTTTGCCTCGTCAAAACTACTTAGAAATGAAAAACTAGAACACACGAGTTTTATATTTTTACATATATAAAATCTAAAATTTAATATCCTATTTATGTTTTTTACATATATAAAATCTAAAATTTAACCACCCAATTACTATGTATTTACATATCTAACACCTAAACCTTACTTTTACACTTACGCCACCCAAATCTTTCATATCACATAAAACATACCAGTTTTTAACTTTAAAAAATTATTAAGGCAACACACACACACACACACACATAAATTGAAGCTTAGGTGTCTGATGTGTAATTGCGTAGGAATTAAGTTGTATATATGTAAATGGCGCTTCTCTAAAATGAGATCATTCATATAGGAACACACCTTAGTTTTGGTTTCACAGCGAACATCAAGCTGCTGGACACGGAGGGAAAGGTGGCCGGCCACCTTTTTTCCTAGAATCCATGGAACAAGATGAATGCCTGGCTCAAGAACATCATCAAATTTTCCAAAACTCTCTTTGATTGCTACAGTTGATTGCTCCACTTGCAGGCAACATAGCAGCTGGCCCATTTCTTCCCCTCTATTAAAAAAATAAAAAGATAAATAAATAAAATTAACAAATAAAAATAACCAAGCACAAAGTATAATCAAAACAAATAAATTGAAACAAATTTTGCTTTTTGCTATGAAGAATTCCTGAAAAAAATGGGCTTTTTATGCATAAATTCCAGGGAAAAGAACAACAAAACGATTAAATAAACAAGCAGAAAGTATAATCAAAAGATATAAATCCAAACAGCTTTCTGTTATCAAGAATTTATGATAAAATTGCTTGTTTATGCATATATTTAGGCAAATGCAATATTCTGATTTTAAAAAAAAACAAAAGTATAAAACACTTGGGGCTTATTTGAGATCAATTTTATTTTTATTTTGGTCTTTAATTTCTTTTATTTTAAAAAACTTAATTTTTTTGGTGTGCTTTTTATATGTTATTATTTTTTATTTCTAAAATAAATTAATATATTTTTGAAAACACTCAAACAAGATGTTTCGAGTGTTTTTAAAAAAAAATTATAGCTTAATCAAATGTTTCGAATAAAAATCTAAACAAAACAAAATAAAAACAAAAAACAAAAGTGATCCCAACCGGCTCCTTAAATAACCAAGCAAAAAATAAAGTAAAAACAAATAAATCCAAACAAAATTTGCTTTTTACTGTAGAAAATTCCTGATAAGGCATTCATATGAATATAGCAATATTCTGGAAGAAAAAAAAAAACCAGCAAAACACTTAAATAATCAAGCAGGAAGCATAATCAAAACAAAGAAACCCCGTTGAGAATACCTGTTAAAATGGGGTTTTTATGCAAATATTTTAGGTAAAGAAACATTCTGAAAAACAAAAATGATGATAACCATAAGGATTTAACCTTTAGATCAGAAGCACGTGTGAGTTGTCAAGGAATATAAAAAACGAACGCTATAAATAGCTATAAATAACTGTATAAATGATATTTATAGCAGTAGCAGGGAAGATAGTATATCATATAATCAGAAACAAAGGATTATGAAAAGTACACCAAGCCACCAATTCCTGAAGTTTCTGAAATTTCAATAATTCATCTAAAGTCAAATTGAACCAATCAAATAAATACAATTAACTAATAAAATCAATTTATGCTCAGCTTAAAGTGACTAAAATAATATTTATATCCAAGAAAATATGCCAAAATTAAATAATAATAAAATGAGCACATGTATTGACAAATAATATTTTGCTGGGACCAACCAATGTATGAATACATCCAAAGGGGTTTTAAAATAAATAAGCAAATAAGTAATTAAATTAAGGGGGCACTTACAAACATATCACACAATTCTTATTTATTTACATATCTCACACCTAAACTTTCATAATTAGACACATAGCGCTCAAATATGCAATATCACATAAAAAAACAACACTTTTAAACTGATATGCACATTTTCATGGATAGGTTTAAAACACCATAGTGCTATATATATAAATATGAAAGTTTTAGCGTGAGATATGTAAATACATAAAAAATTGTGTGCTAAATATGTAAATTTCCCTAAAATTAATTTGAATGGGTTGCACGTGGAATAAGTAGCTTGACAACTAAACCTAATAGAAGAATAGAAAAGTCAAGTATGGTTAAACAAAATAACAAATAGAAAAATATTAAAGAAGCACGATAGTCTCCAGAGAAGCCTTTCTACTCAAAACATGGTGAAATAAGAAAGACATGGCTTTGTAAGAAAATCACGTAAGACAAGCAAAGTATAATAATAAAAATATTTGAAAATTGAACAAAATGTAATAAAAGAATTTCAATGAGTTCAATAATGGTTTTTGATATGTCATCAATAATTTTTCATCATTCAACACGAATCTCAAGGCAATTTTTGAGCAAAAAGTATACAAACTCACACGTAAAATCATCAAAAATTTTGATTTCGGCAAACTTGTCGTCAAATTGACCGGCTCGATGAGACAAATGCAATAACACCAACATTGACCCAATCCGAGTCAAATCAAGCCTAAATTGAGTTTTTAAATCATTTTTAGAAACTTTTGGTGCCTAATGAGAAAGTCAAATGGATTCCAAATCTAATAAGTTTATAGTCAAATCGAGCATCTCAATAAGATGAATCCAACGAGCTTAAGATCACTAAATTCTGACACCATTAAAACACGAAAATACATATAGAATATCATCTGATTGAGGGAACCTGGATGAGCAGGCTAATAGAGTGATATGAATTTCTTCTTTATTTGCAAAAAATGTCTATTCTAGACTCTATAAATAAAACCTCATCCCCATCATGAAGAGCATATGAAGACCTCAACTTGAAGGAGGATCGAAAGTCCGGTCTGCTGCAATCGACCACCACTCGCCAGCCATCGTCGATCTGCTGCCTCTTGCTCATTACATGAAGCCTATCACAAAATCATGACTCACGCTGCGGAATCTCAACATGCACTACAGATTACGAGGCACCTTGCTGAACAAAGGTAAATGTTGTAGAGCAATGAAGCGTTGTGCAGAGTGGCGTCAATGTTGTGGAGTGCAATAGCTTATGACTTATGTAGGAACTAAGAAATGCCAATATAGGGCACATAGAAGTAGTTTGGTTATTATTTAAAGTTGAGTATAAGGTTAAAAGATGGAGAAATGGTATGATCTTGGGGCAACAAAAGAGGCCGGACTGATAAGTTGAGAAGGTCCTTAACCAACATGAGTTAGAGTCTTAAGGCAATGGATGAAGCGAGACAAGAAAGTTATGTAGCCAACTAAAAATGATTGTATTGGGCAAGCAATATTTTTATGCATAATGCCTGGTTACAAAATACATAATGCTAACTTATTTTTAAATATTCATTGGGTTTTCAAAATTAACTTGATTTATATGCTTGGTTGACTAATATGCATAACATAAATTGCAGGGAAACCTCTCATACACTCTATAAATAGAGTTATAACCCCTACTTGTGTCGCGACTTAACCCGTAGCTTGAAATTAACCAATGCGGGAACAAACGGTCAGGCGTTGGAAATAAAAAAGTTTATATATTTATTTTATATAAGTAACATTTGACAATTGAAAGAGCCACTAAAAAAAATTAACATAAATTTATGATTTAATTATCAAGGAAGAGTATAATTGATCTTAATATTAATTTTGACAATTATTTATTTAAAAGTAAAGTAACTCTAATTAAAGTTGTATCTGAATTAATTCTTTGAAACTACCCATTTGTTTGCACTTCTCCTTTAATCGCATAAACAAACCCAAATTCCTTCTTGCTACTCTTCCCAACCTAAATTAACATAATTTCATATTAACATTGCTTAAAATTAAATAATTAATTAACATAAATTAGATGCATAATTGAAATTTACCTTAATTCCTCTTACTGCAAATTGAACAATTTCTTTATGATCTTCTTTAATCATTTATTTAATGTTCTCAATTCTTACCTTCCTGTTTTTACAATTTTGATTAACAAAACAAAATCCATATTAATTCTTTAAATGAAATTCATTTATTATAATTAAAAATCTAAATATCATTAAACCCTAACTTACCATTTTAAAAGCTCAGTTCGGTCTCTCCTTCGCATGTTGGCACTTCCCCTCTTATTTTTTATGTTCAATTCTTTTCTCATTCTCCCTTCTTCCGATTAGGTTATTCCACACACAGAGTCGCTCCCTATTTCTTCCTCCGTGCACGAGACAATGGACAAAGCTCGGTCTTGACTTCCCCACGCAGTCGCCCTCGCGTGCTTGATGACGACTCGCCCTTCTATCTCACAAGCTCGACTTCGCTACTTCTCCTTTGCATGTCTACTTATTCCTTTGACTTCTTCTTCTTCTCCTTCAACTTCTAGAAGCCACAAGGAAGGGCTGGAAATGCCCCGCCTTTTTTCTTCCTCCTCTGCCTTAGGTTGCAGACACGGCATCGTCGCCTCTTCGACTGGTTCATCCTGACCCACACCAACACCCATGATGCTTTCTCTTATGGCTTTGATGCCTTCCCATACACACGACAAAACCTCAGCGTCGACTCCAACGCCAACCAACTTCTTCTCCTTTCATCTACGCTTCGAAGTTGATTGTTTTCCTCTGTCGCGGTGCCGCCTCTAGAGTTATACAATAAGTTTTCTTCCTTGTCGTTCTTCTCCCTCACCTTCTCTTTCTCGTATTCTTTTTCCTTCTCCTTCCTCCTTTCTGCTTTCTCCGGTTTTTGCTCTCTTCAAAAGGAGATTTTTTCATACGGAGTACGTACATAGCTTTGCGTGCGAACTTTCAGTAATATGTCGCCACATAGAGGTTATTGTGGAGTTATTGATGTGAAACTGATGAGATTTATTGCGGGGTTATTGTGAGGGTTAATGCAGGGGGTTGCTGAAATAGAACCGTGGAGATTATTGGATTGGAACCGCAAAAATTATTGGGGGTTATTAACCCCCCCAAATAACCCCCCAATAACTCTCCCAAATAACATATGCAGTTCCACTTTAATTTTTTTTAGGTGGGCTTAAAATAACACACATGGCGGCATATTACAGGAATCCGCGTGTAGAGCTGCGTAAGTACTCTGTATAAAAAAAATTTTCCTTCAAAAGGGACATGCAACCCTTAAAGACGAAACAAAGAGCATCTTATCCTTATATTTATTCGATTATTAATATTATAACAGTTTTAATTTTTTATTTATTGGTTATTATATCATGAAGAGGGGGCGAAGAACTGAACTTGGAGGACAAGGAGAAAAAGGAGTTGAAGTTTAGTATTCTACATTGAAGATCCGATAAATGTTTTCCGCTCCTATAGCCGTCGACCACCGTAGACCATCGCTCGCCAACCGTCGTCAACCACGTTGGTCGCCCCCTATTCGCTGCAAAGAAGCCTCTCGCAGAAATTGAGCTTACGCCGCAAAATCCCGGCATACACTGCAGATTAGCGAAGCACTTTGCAGAAAAAAAACCAATGTTGGGGAGTAACAAAGCATTGTGCGGGGTAGCGAACAATGTTGCGAAGTAATGAAAAACTGTGTGGAGTAGCAGCCAATGTAGTGGAGCATTCCACCGAGCAAGGCGGCGTTCTGAACACCGCGCAACGACGAATTTTAAAAGTTGTGTACCGATGTTTTGACAATTGCAACCGCTCCTGACCGTTGTGCAACGAGTGCTCGTGCATGCAAACAATGTAACTGTTTGACCATTTCCTGTCTGTGAGACAAGAATTGGTATCTGTCCTCATCAAGTTATACTGAATTATTTCTAACTGGGATAGGCCACATGGTTTTTTCCTTTTCAGGTTTTTTCAATTAAAAACTTCTGCTCTCTATCTGACATTTTTATTCTCTAAGTGTGTGTTGGATTATCGTCTAATGTCGAGATGATAATTCATTACTTTACCGCCACGAATGTTCTAGCACACATCTGTTTTGTACTAATAATGTTATTAGAGGTATAACTGAGTTAAGTCAATTGATGTGATGACTTGGGCTTGGCTTGATAAATAGCTCATAAGCTAAACTCGATGAGCTGACGAGCTAAGTTTGAGTTATCCCCACTCAACTCGTTAGCTCTTGAGCTGACTTATTTTAAAACTATTGATATAAAATACATAAATATAAATGTTGTCTCAATTAAGATATATAAACATTATACATCACGCACATTAAATGATTTATTATTATTTACCTACTTTCCCATTTTTTCATTTTATTACAACTGTTGTTCTAATTAAATTATTATTATTTATTCTATAATAAAGAAGCTAGCTAACGAGTTAACTCGAACTTTTAGAATTGAGCTTATGCTCGAATCTCATTAATTATTCAAGCTCAAACTCATGCTCAAGACAGAGATGACTTGAGCCGGACTCCACCCTTTTACACCCCTAAATGAAATAAAAAAGAAACATTATAGGTTTTTTTTTTTTTTATCCGAGATAATTTTATGATTATAAGTAGGGCATAAAATCAAATACAGATATCAACCACACAGGAGGATCCATGAACAAGTACCAAGATCAACATGCAATAATATCTTCGTAGCCTAATTTAATTAAATCTACCAAAAAAAAAAATCCTTGTCAAATGAAAATACAAAATTAAACAATTACTGATCCACAAATTTTGAGAAATGATATTACAAGAATTCTGATAAAATAAGAATACGAACAATATTCCGTGCCAATAACATCAGAAAAACCCAAACTAAGAAACACAACCCGAACGAATTCCACTAGAATTTATCACAAAATGAGCCAGAACACAAACCCTAGATCAAACCCATCCAAATGAAACAGACAATGACGCCGACTCAACAACAACTTGAAACGGATCAAAATTAAGGGAAACAAAAGCACGACGATGAAATCAAATCATAAGAAAATGGATAGTTCTTACCAACAAGGAGACCCAGCAATCAAAATCGCAGAAGAGGAAAGTGAAATTAAGCAGTAAGAAGGGGCGATACTTCCGGGAAGAAAAAGGCAGAGATGAACAGAGCGTTCACGGCAGGGATTTGTAAGCATTTATTGCGACCAGTTTTAGACGGAAAACAAAAATGGTGAAAAGAACTCTTCCGATACTCGCGGACGCACTGCTTATCTTATATATCATCCGATTCTTTTTGTATTTACATATTTACCATCCAAAGTTTATTTTTTATATTTTTACCACTAAAAATAATGGTGTTATATATGTAAAAATTAATATTGACGTGTTAGATATATAAATATATAGAAATTGGTTGGTATGTATGTGCAATTAATTTATTTTGAAGGCTATTTTGATAGAAAAAAATGTCTTTTTTTTTTTCAAAATGGCAATTACATGCATGGCACCCCAAAATATTGTTATTTACGAATCAAACACCCTCTTTCATTTATTTTTTTTAAATTCTCACTCTCATATAAAAATTCATGATAAAAACATATCTCAAAGTTTTCATTTTTATCAAATTCTCAATTATTTGATTGTAGCACGCGTAAACACATCGATTCAGTAGTTCAAAAAGATCGCATGAGTGCTAGATTTTGTAAATTTGGACGAATCTTTGCATTCTCAATAGTGCACCTTACTAAATGATTAGATATGTGTAGCTTTGTTGAAACAATACATTAAACAATGAATTGAGATTATAAAAGACATCCTTGAATTAAAATTAAAGATAATTAGAATTAAATATTATCTTAGACGACATGAAAAGAAATTGCTTAAACAAGCTTTAATTATAAGGTTGTTTTGTCTCTTTTTGAATATTTGCATGCTTTTAAAGTTTGTCCTTTTGGGTAAACTATATTTTGGTAGTTTTTTCAAAAAGCTGCCACTGAAATCTTTGTTTTCTCGTCAGTCTTGACTTGATGTGGTGGCTGCTTTCTAACTACAATCTGACTTTTTTAAAAAAAAATTATAATAGTCATCGTAACATTTTGAACATCGGATTATTTTTCAGCAGTCTCATAACTGTTTTTTAATAAGCTGCAACTGTCCCAAACAGACTCATCTCACATGTTTATTGTTATGCTCATTCTAACTGCTTGTCCAGTCCATTTACGTAAAGCTTATATTGGTAAGATTTAAATAATTTAAAGAAATTAATTATTGTAAGTATCACAAAAAGAAATTATATGAAAAACCAATATAATTCCAAATTTCTTTTCTTATAACAATTTAAAATTGTTGAAAATGATGTAGAAAAAAAAAATTTTGAGGACATCTATTTTAAACGAAGACTCTTTATAAATTACCCTCAAAACAACAACAACATGAAGCATAAAACCCATCGTCTTGTTTTTCTTTTTTTTTGTAAAAAAACACGAATCATTTTTTCTACATTATGTCCTATTAAGTGTTATATTTTTCATTTAATTCTAATAAATTAAGATTATGTTTTATATAATATGTCCTAATCTTCTTAGATCATTCTCAACAGAAGGCTAATCTAAAATATCTACTCTCCTATGGTCGACGTTTAATGTGACCAAATCATCTAAGCGACTCTATCTAATCTTGGAACAAATATTAAGTACGGAGTCTGCATGCATGTGGATTTCAGTATAACCATGTTGTATAAGGTTGCATTCATGATTGTACTCATGAACGCAGAGATATACAACATCCATATGGAAGTGAATTTTGCACCTAATATATATTTTTTTATCTTGTGTCATTGGAATTACAAAAACCTTTAATATTTTTAATATGTAAATTAGCTAAAGTATGAAACAATGTAGATTAACAAAAAAAAAAAAAAAAGAGTTTAATAGTTGTCTTTTCAACTCATACCAGTACCATAGCAAAATCTCAAGGTTAGGGTGCATTTGGGGTGACGGTGTGGTGATTCACTGTAGCTTTTCTGTTTGACAAAATTACCTTTTATCTGCATCATTGAAAATTTGTGGCTTAAAACTGTGTTTTCTCACAATGCATGACTACCTGATGAGACGTTGCTGCTAGAAAGCTGCAATATGATTTCAATATATATATATATATATATATAAACAATCTCATAACATCGAAGTTGCTTCTTCATACAACGACAACTGTGGCAATAAAAAAGACTCGTTGTTCGCGAACGACTTGTTTTCGATTCATTCGCTAAATAAACGAGACGAACACGAACAATTTTTTTGCTCTCCATTTATAAACGAGCCGAACATGAAGAAAGTTTTGTTCGTTTGTGTTTGGTTCGGTTTAATTGAGTATAATGCTACAAAAATTTATAATCAATTAAAATTAATAATTAAAAATAGAAAAAAATATATTAAATCATATTTAAATGAATATTTTAATATAAATAATAATATAAATCTCACCCTAAAAATATCAAAACAATCGTAGTCAAATTAAATTTAAATTTCTAAATTAAAAAATTATATGCAAGACGTAGTTTTAACATCTTAAGGCTGTGTGATCAGGGTTGCCAAAATAGCTTATTATCCGCGAATAGCTAATGTTCAACTCGATAAGCAAGAAAGCCAAGCACAAGCAAATTTTTTGAGCTCAATATGTAAACGAGCCGAATAAAAACAATAATATTTTTTAACAAATCGAGTCTGGACTCACTTAAGCTCGGCTCGTTTACACCTCTCATGATTGCATGCATGACTAGAATTGACAAATAATTTTTTATTAGCCAACAACTCGTGTTTCGGCTCCTTAACAAAAGGAGCCGAACATAAATGAATATTTTGTGTTCAAAATATAAAAGAATCAAACACATACAATATTGTTTTTAACAAGCAGAATAAGAGCTGAGCAGAGACTTGTCCGTGCCGGGTAGACCTCACCTAAAAATTCATTTGCTTAAGAACTAGATCATCCCACCGTTCGGCCTTCAAACCAGAGCCATGCTTCGGAAATCAGTCTCCCCTCTCCTCTCTCAGGGCATCCGCCAAGCTATCCCCTTCCTCTCTTCACGCGCAGGAGTCTCTCTCTCCTTCTCATCTTCTTCTCATATCCTAAACCCTTCTGCTCCTCCAGCAGGCCAAACCAATGAACACAATCCAGATTCCCCTCCCACCGCTACAATCTCGATTGATCGATCCGGCCTGTATAATCCCTCAGGTACGATACGAACGGGCACTATCTTCCCCTCTCTCTTCTCTAGTTTCAACTTAACTTTTATCTCTTCGGGATTCGAATTCGCAGATCATTTCCACAAACCTTCTGCTGATTCGGAACTTGTAAAGCATCTGAAGAGCATCATAAAGGTGATTTATCTCTGTTCCTTTTCTTTTCATAATTTTATACTGTCTTTGCACTTGATTGCCTTGATTCTCCTCTTGCTTTTTGCAGTGCAACATAATATTACAGGGATTATATCTTTAATCTTGAAAATTATCTAATGATTATTTCAGTTATTAGAGAATTTTGATTTTTATTTAGTATAATTTGTGCTTTGTTCGGTTAAGGTGTGTATATATTTAGCTTAGCCCAGCATTGCAATGTACTTTAGAGTTATATGGAGGCACAGCTTCAATCATAAACCTAATATGGCTGTGATGTTCTTAAGGGAAATTTATTTACATATCTCACAACTCTTATGTATTTACATATCTAACAGCTAAAGTTTGACATTTACACTTATAACACCTTAGTGTCATAAACCTATGCATGAAAATGTGAATTTTACCTTTAAAAAGATAATCATGGTGGTGTTCCTGAAGTGATTTTAAAGATATGAATGTAAATATGTATGCTTAAGTGTTAGATGTGTAAATACGTAAGAATTGTGTAGTTTGTATGTAAATGCCTTTATTCCTAAATGTTTGAACAAAGTGAAACAAGATACAAACTACTTTTTTTTTTTTCATTTTTGCCCACCCAAAAGTCCATAAGATGGGAGTTTATATTGTGTAGGCGTGGATTGAACTCAAGGCTTTGATAGTTACTTCTAAGGCCTTGACCAGTTGTTATGCACGAGATACATATTAATTTGCATTTAACAAAAGAGGGAAAAAAAAAGGAAGGCTTATGGAGATCTAACTACAATGCAAGCATCTAAAAATCTAAAAATGATGTGCAGATTTACATACATACCACTCTATTTTTATTTATTTACATATCTAACACTAAACTTTAATTTATACATATATGCCGCCTACCTATGCATGAAAATGCATATTGCATTTTTTTAAAGTTAAATGGTGGCAATTTCAATGTGATACTAAAAATTTGAGTGATATAAAGTAAAGTTTAGATGCTAGATATGTAAATAAATAGGAATTGGGAATGATGTTTTGGCCCTTTTACTAATTATATTAACTAGCCTTATGTTGTTTTGTGTATCAATAGGAATTAAAAAATAAATATTTGCACTTTTTTAGTCATCATAATCATTTCACCCTTGTTAAATAGTTCCGTGGAGGCCCGATTTCGATTGCCGAGTACATGGAGGAAGTCTTAACCAATCCTAACTGTGGATTTTACATAAATAAAGATGTTTTTGGAGCTGGTGGTGATTTCGTAACCTCTCCTGAAGTGAGCCAGATGTTTGGAGAGGTAATTTGATGATAAATGTAATTTCTTTTTTGTTATTTGTAATGCACAAATTAATCATGCGGAATCTCTTCATGGGTAGAACTTTTGTGCATCTGTGCATGCATATTTGTATTTATATGCTAGTTTTTCTTGCATTTTTATATGCCTATCTTAGATTAGCTTTCAAGTTTACCTTGAATCCAATATCAAAGGCACTTTTGTTGCAAATTTAAGAACCGTCGATCTTGCCATGTTACTGTTGAAGTAGTGTTGGTTCTATTTAATTTTTTTAAGTTTTGATGGCTATGTTCTTATTCCCTTGGGAAGATTGCTGTACTTGGAAGCATATTGGCTTGACATTCTTGTATTCTTTCAGATGGTTGGTGTGTGGACCGTGTGTCTGTGGGAGCAGCTTGGACGACCTGCAAAAGTAAATCTAGTTGAGCTTGGTCCAGGGCGAGGGACACTCATGGCCGATCTTCTCCGTGTAATATATGTCGTTCTATTTTCTCATCTTTGCTATTGTTGAATTCTTTCCTTTGCATCAAGTGAGCTTTGTTTAGCATTTTTTCTTGGAAGATTTACATTCATACCACTCAATGCTTATGGATTTACACATTTTAACACCTAAAAGTCAATAGTAAAGTGCAAAAATAGTCCCTTGACTATAAACATGGGGCCATTTTAGCCCCAACGTTAATAATGTAATAATAAAAAAAATGATAATTTTATTAAACCAAACCTTGCAATTTAGGGTAAATTTTCATGTTAAACCGACCCTTGCAACTTATAATCTTAAAAAACAATTTGTAAGATAAATTTTTATGTTAAAGCAAACTATCCAAATGTTATGTATATATATTTAATGTTAAATAAAATTTTCTTGAATTAGGAATCGACGACTTGATAAATTGTTGGGATTGAGAAAGAGGTGAAATCAAGGCTTTCAAAGAAGGACGAGGTAAAAATTTATAAATTTATGAGTTTAGTCTATAAATTAATTTAAGTAAAGGTGGTATCAATTTTATATGAAGTGATTTTAATTTATCAAGTCATTGAATTATAGGTCGATAGAGAAGTCGTCTTGCCAGAGGAAGTAAAGTGAAGGAATGAGCATTTTCAGGGGTCTTTTAAGTCAAGGTGAGTAATTATTTGATTATATGTATTAAATTTAAATTTTATGAAATAAAGAATTTCTTTAAAGCTTTAGAAAATTATTTTATGTTGGTATGCATGTTGTAGCTTAAGAATGAAAGAAAAATGAAAGGGAAAAATGGAAAAGAATATTTAATGTCTTTAAAAGGATGTAATTTAAATGAAATGAAATGAAAGTTAAATGCTTAAGTCATACATGATTACCCCAGATGGTACTGACAGGGGTGCAATGTACCAACGCACGTTAAAGGAAATGGTAAAGGCACGCCTTTGGGTGCAATTTGAGGGTACATTCGGGTACATTTTTTAGGGTGTCTTAGAACACATTTTGAGGGTGCCTTGGGCACATATTTTAGGATACATTCGAGCATGCCAATAATCTTGTGATGACTATTAAGGAGGTTAAAAACGGTAAGTACTTAAGGTGAAATGGGAATAGATGAATTCAAAGTTTTAATGAAATTAACTACATGGTTATTCATGCATAGGATAACATAGCATATAAATTTAATGCTTATCGGATTATAATTATTCACTAAGTTTTACTTACATTTGAAGTTAAATGTTTTTTTTTTTTTCAGGAGAAGGAAAGTTTTAGGTTGATATGTCTGATAGAAGAAGTTTTATTTACTTGAGGAGGACCACTATTGCTAGTTATTTTCTTGTTGATAGTTTTTTTTTGTTGTTTTCGTCGGTTTTTGATTTATTGTTTAGTGCTAAATTGAGATGTTATTTTTGATGTTGTTGTTTCTAGATGATTTAGATTTTATCGCACTTGTGGATTAGTAGTTCTTTTATATGTATTGTAAGTTTTCAAAATGTGGATAATTAGATGTTAGTATCATCCGGCCGCTGTTCCTGCCTCAGTTAGTTCTAGGCGTTGGGCCGGGTCATGACAAATAATCCCCATGGAGAACTATTTACGCCACCATTAAAAGAGTCTGTAATTAAATTGATACTTTTACAGACTTTAGGACTAAAATGACTCTCGAAAAAAAATTAGGGGATCAATTTAATACTTTTCTCTTTAAATATATGCCACCTTAAAAATGCATGAAAAGATGTATTTCAACATTTTACAGTTAAAATAGTGGCATTTTCTTAATGATATTTCAACTTTAGCTGTTATAAATGTAAAAAGGCAAAATTTAGGTGTTACAAACGTACATACATAAGAATTGGGTGGTATTTATGTAAATGTCCCTTTTACTTTTATTTGTGACGTATTGTATTTTTAGGAAGTGCTTTTCTTTCTTGTAGGGCTCTTCAAAATTTGTAGACTTCTCAAAATCACTTGATATACACTTGGTAGAGTGCAGCCCAACCTTGCAGAAGCTTCAATATAACACCTTGAAATGCATTGATGAAGCAATATCTGGAGATAATACTGCTAAAAGAATCACAACTACATTGACTGGAGCTCCTATTCTCTGGCATGCTGATCTAGAGGAGGTTCCATCAGGATGTAAGAAATCCTTGTTTTTTAACATATAAAATATATACCGGAGCATTAAAGTTTTTTTCTTTAGAAATTTTTGTTTGCCATGTTGATTCTCTTACCTATTTAGCTCCCAGTTCTAATCTATTTACATATCTCACACCCAAGCTTTCATATTTACATACAGAACATTTTGGTGCTTTAAACCTATGCATGAAAAGGTTTATTTCAGTTTTTAAAAGTGCTAATAGTGTTATTTCTTATGTTATATTAAAGATTCGAGTGCTATGCATGTAAATGTGGAAGTTTAGGTTTGAGATATGTAAATACATAAGAATTGTGTGCCATATGTGTAAATGCCCCTTCTTTTATCTTACTATGGATTTTGTGTTCAGTTATGCTTTTTTTTTCAGCCAATATTCATTTCTCACTCTTGCTTCAAGCTAGAGGTTTATATTATTCATGCTTCTTCTATTTATATGAAGATAATTTATTTATGCCATAGTTGAGGGGTGGATCTAGACATTGTCTGTGATAGTTTGTTGTGGTAGAAGCTGTACATCAGGCAAATAATTTCTATTTGGCTCATTTATATTTTGAATTTATGAAGATGACCGTTGATTACTTTTTCAACTTTATGACGCTTATCTTTGCTAACATGAACAGTGCCGACCATTATCATTGCACATGAATTCTATGATGCTCTGCCGATCCATCAATTTCAGGTTTGTCATTACTCAGTAATACTTCTTTGATTGTCCACATTGTTACTTTTATCTAATATTCAAAAATCATTTCATAAAAGTCCATGCCATGAATTATGGGTCGTACAAAATATGATTTTGATGTTTAATAGTTTAAAAAGGTGTTATATTCTGCTGGGGAGACTTATGCAGAGGGAGAAAGTTAGCAATAAGATTTATTTTTGAAAATTGTAAAATTAAAAAAATAAAGTCTGTTATATGCTTACATATAGCATGAAACAGATAGGGGCTGCCAATATTGTTAGAAAATATACTCTTTTTATATGAGCTGGCCAATGATTGAATACGAGAGAGTACTAGGATAAACACTACGAAAAATAACATCAGGGGTTGGAGAAAGATCTAATGATACCGGAGTTAACCCAAATCACGACGCAAGACTATAATTATTATTGCTGAAGTTAGAATGAGGATACAATGTAGACTCAAAGCAAAGGAAAATAACCTGATGAAACAAAAGCTGTATATAGGTTTGCAAACAAACAACAATAAGACTGACGATCCTCACAAGGAGGAACTCAGGGGTGGTGGTGCAAAGAAAATGACTGGTGAAGGCCGAAGAGGTGTCAGGCTGCTATAGAGGCGTCAAACTGTTACTGGAGGAAGCAGAGAAGTCATCGATGGCCGGAATCCGAAGGGACAGCTGACTGCGGTTTGCAGGGAAGCTGCACGGAGGAGGCGTGACAGCTGGAGGAGGAAGAGGAGCAGCGAGCATGATGGCCTAAGAGGTAGCTGGAAGAGCAATGAAGGGCAGTTGTGGATGTAGCATGCAAAGAAGCTGTACGGAGATCGATGGTGACTTGCAGGAAGGGAAGGGGAGCTCGCTGGTCTGCTGATGGCTGTCAATGGTTGCTGAGACCAGCTGGAATAGCAGGGGCGGCAGTTTGCTGGTTGCTGACGACATGCTTGAAGAACAAGGGGGGAGGTGCAGGGCCTGCTGGTGGCTGAAGGGCTGCGGCAGCTTGTTGGAAGGATCAGGGAGTTGGTGCGGTGGTCTGTTGTAGGGCTGGAATGCTGGTTGATAGCAGTAAGAGGGATGGAATGATGGATAAATATCTCGGCGGGGTCAAGCTACAGTTGGAGCACCATCCGGACTCGTGGAGACGATCACCACCTCGGACAAGTGACAACGGCTATATTGACATCAGATACAACCCTCGAAGGGTAAATATCAAGGCTAAAACCTGAAGTCAGATATCAAAACAAGACCTTTTACTCTAACATCATCCCCTATTTATAAAAGATGCTATACTTATTTTAGGTAATGAAAATAAGAAAGGAGAATATAATATAATCAAATTTTTAGATTTTATGAAAGGATTTAAAGTAAGAAAAATTTTAAAATAAGAATGGAGAATAAGATCTAATAAGGATTTCAGATTTTAGGAAATGATTTAAAATAGGAAAGTGCTCGGAAGAAAAATAAGAAAAGAAGTAAAGGAAGGAAAAGGAAAGAGGAAAAAGGAAAGGAGGGAAAAAAGGAGAGGAGGGAAGAGGAAGGAGGGGGCAATTACCCCTGTTCCTTGGGGACCGACCAATTCTCTCCTGAGCCCCGCATCATCTAATATAGATTAAACTTGTGTTTATTAGAAACTGTTAGAAATTATATTAGAAAATAACTTATTCCTGCGTTAAGTTATGAGGAATAAATTATTTACTTAGATTTTGAGTTATTTCCTTTCCTATTTGATATTTATTTCCTTTGATTATTTCCTTTTCTATTTTAGACTTTCCTATTTTATCTTCTTTTCTTTATCTCCAAATAATAAATATGCATTGATTAGTTGGAGATATTAAGTGATATATCTTTCCTTTCGTATTATTTTCTTTTTATCATCTTTCTTATTCTAAGATTCATGTAAGCGTTATTTATACCCCTCCTCATATCAATGAAAATTAGGCTTTATTCTGCATTATTCTGAATTTCAATATGATATCAGAGCTAAATTCTCTATTCTCGCTGTCGGTCCTCCCTTGAGAGCCGCTATACTCCCTGTCATTCTCCCTGCAGAAAGGGAGGGATGTTTTCTCTCCTTGCGGTATGGTCGCAATCACTCTCGGCTCTTGGCCTCACCATTTCACCAGAAAAATTCTCGCTTGCTCCAAACTTCATCTTCCTCCCCACGTCTTTTGTTTCTTATCTTGAAGCAGCTCAACACTAGATTTTTCCCTTATGTTACGGGATCTACCCTCTGAATCACCTCGGGCTCTGACAAGCATGTCTTTCTAGGATTTCCATCTATTTTTCTCTTTCATTTTAGCCACAATATGTCATCGGTGACTGCAGATCTACTGGAATTCCGCAATTGATGCATCCACCACTTATATTTGACATCATCGCTGTCGGAGTATGGAATTGACAACTTTGATTGGCTTCCAAACTCGATCCTCATTATCATCTTCAACCTGATCGATGATGTGAAGGCACTCGGACAGTGCCACGTCATCTCCCGCCTCTTCCACACTCTCGTTCCCCTCGTCGACAACATTGTCGTCTGTGTTTTATCGGACGATCCCACAGTGTTTTTTTCTCATCTTGCTCGTTTCGTTTTCGACAAGATTGTGCAACCCTTTTATGCCCCAGGTCAGATTCTCTTTGTTCCCTCCTCCAAGCGCGTTTCATCCTCCAATTCTGCGTCGTCCTCTTCTACATCACACCATTCCCCCTCTGAGATGTTGAAGAATTTCAAGGAGATTTGGCGGCTTCGGATTAAGCTTCAAGTCGACAAACTCAGGGGTGATGATGGTGTTCTTCTTAAATGGAAGACTGTTTTTGGCTTCACCCTTGACAAGTGTGTCTTCCTTGGTGTCACTTCTGTCATTTCCTCCAAATTTGCGAATGCTAACCCCACACATGATCTCTATGCCAGTTAACACAACCTGAATTTTTCTACATGAATGGGGGACTGAAGCTTAGAGTTGTTTGGACAATTAGTTCCCTCATTGCCACCTCTGCACGACATTACCTCCTCCAACCCATCATGAGTGATCACGAGACATTGGAGTTCTTGGATCTCACTGATGCAAATGGCCAAGGTGTGCTAATTATGGATAGATGCCAGCTACATGATCTAAGAGTGTGGTTTATATTAGCTTCAAGTTCTTCACATCGGACATTGGTCCTAACACTCAGCATGAGGTTGTGGTATGCTCCGCTTCTTGAGATGCCAAGTGGATTGGTTCTTAAGGGATCAACACTTGTTGCTATCCGGCCTAGTGGAGATTCACAGAAGGAAGTGGTGGGAGGTTGCAGTATTGGCGAGCCATTAGATTTGTTTTGGGTGCCAAAGATGCTTGTGAAGAGGACTATATTTTGTTTGGTGATGAATTCCTCTGGAGCTTTTTCTTTATATAGGCCCTCCTCCAGAGCTTTTTCTGTAGCAGGTCTTCCACCTAAATTCTTCCTACAGCAGGCCCTCCTCCGGAGCCTTTTCCTGCATCGTGCCTTTCTCCGAAACTTTCACCTATATTGGGCCCTCCTCCGGAATCATTTTTGCAGTAGACACTTCTCCAAAGCTTTTTCTGCAACAAAGCCTACCTACTGGACCTTTTCTACCTCCAGACCTTTTTTATTCTCTGTAATATTACCTGTAGGTGTCATCTGCCTACATACACACTTTAGGAACTGCAACCAACGACAACCACAGTCAATTAGATAGTCAACTTTTTATACAGATTGACACGTTTCTGCAAACTTTCCTGCAACATTACCTGCAGGAGCCTTCCGCCTATCTACAGACATAACGAGAATTACAGTCAAAGACAACCACATATTGTCTACTTACCTGCAATTCTTTCTGTAACACATCTGTAAGAGCCTTCCGCCTACCTATAAACACTGCAGAAACTATAGTCAAAGACAATCGCAGCTGTCTACTTTCCTGCAAACTCCACCGCAACACTATCTGTAGTAGTCTGTTACTTACCTAGAAACACTGCAGGAACTATAGTCAATGACAACCAAAGTATGGGATGAAAACTTCAAGTTCTACTTCACAAAATTTTTCTCTCCCATTATTTGATGTTTTTAAAATCTATGTTGAACATAATTTTCAATAATATTTCAACTTGAGGGGAAGTGCTAGATGTTATATTAGGAAATAATTTATTCTTGTGAGAAGTTATGTGAAATAAATTATTTTCTTAGATTATGAGTTATTTCTATTCCTATTTATATTTATTTCCTTCATTACGAGTTATTTCCTTTCCTATTTTAGTATTTCCTATTTTATGTTATTTTTTTATCTCTAAATAATTAATATGAATCGATTAATTGGAGATATTGGGTGATATATCTTTCTTTTCATATTATTTCTTTTTTATTTACTTTGTTATTCTAAGATTCATGTAAGGGTTATTTATACCCTCTCTTATATCAATGTAAATTGGGCTTTATTCTACATTATTTTGAATTTCAACAAAAACTATAAAGAGCAACGAAAGAATTCTCACCTTATTTTATTAATATTAAACATTATCCAATCAAACACACTGAAAAATAATTTTTAACATTTATAAAAAAAGTTATCTATAAAAGTTATGTTGAAGTTATTAAAAAATATCTACAATTGTGCAGTTTAGAATTTGAAGTAGATACAGAGTCCAAGCTTTTCGATCTTAGCATTTGATATCCCTTGATGCTAAAATCAAAGAGCAAAACACAAAGAAACGATAATATATAGATGTAAGGAACACAAATAAGGGCTACTCTTACGAAAATCAAAGTAAAACAAACAAGATACAAGGTCAATCTACTTTTCGAGGGGAGACCATCTCTCCCACACCTTAGACGTCACTAGGAACATCACGCGAAGAAAGAATACAACAACCAAACAAAAAACAAGCATAAAGAAAGCAAACCCTAGGTTCCTCCTTAATAGAATCCCCTGCCAACAATTCAAAAACATTCCTTCCCAACTTTCCCTTCAAACTCCCTTAATTTCTCTTCCTTGCATAGGTGATTATGTCCCTCGTGGACCCCACCCTTCCCATTCCTTCTTCTGCGGCTCCCTTCCGTTCGCCCTGCTTCCTGCTGCCGCCAAGACCAACCCGTTTGTGGGCCGGTTATGATCTCTTCGGCCGGTCCACCCCAGACCGGCTCACGTGTAGGCGTAGCAGCCTGGTAACATCAATGATAGATATCCTTTTTATTTGTTATGTGCTGCTCTAAAATGATTTTTTAGCTGAGGTATTTTGATTTATAATAATTGCTGATGTTATAGTGCTAATAGGTGAGACCCCTTCTGAAGCAAATGCTTTAGAACAACTAAGATAACATTTAGGGAAATTTACTCACATAACAAATAATTCTAATGTATTTACATATCTAACAACCAAAATTTGATATTTTCACTTACAACACCTTCATGTCATAAATTTATGCATGAAAAGTGTATTTCACTTTTAAATAGGTAGCGATGATGGTATTTTGATTTGATGCTAAAAATTTGAGTGGTATGCATGTAAATTCCCCTAAAATTTAAATAAGTGGCTCAAGATTAGTTGAGCAAAATGATGTTCATCGTATAAAACTTCCTTAGGTGTAAATGTGAAGTATTCCCATCTAATGAAGCCCTATTGACATATAAAACTTCATTAGTTTTGCATTGCAGCGAGCTTCAAAGCATGGCCTACCCCAGTCAGCTTGTATTCCTCCACTTACACTGAGTGTTGTTTACTCTGTGCTAATAGTGAATGCAGTCAAACTTCCTCTCATGTTCTTTAAATTTTTCTTAGAAATATTAACTGTTAAGTGTCAAAATAATTCATTGATGGTTTTCATGGGGGCCATTTTAGTCCAAGAATCTATAAAAATGCCAAATTAGACTCCATACTTTTTAAATTGGAGCTGAAACTTTTTCAGTCTTATTGAGAAAATCGAGGGACTAAATTGACACTTCTATATACTCTGAGACTAAAATGACTCTCTGCAAAGAATCAAGAAACTATTTTGACACTTTTCTCGAAATATTACTTTGAAATGAAAATTTTGCCTTGCGGCGGGCTTCAAACTATGGTTTACCCTAGCCATCTTCCCTTATATTTCTAACTCAAGTTCACACTTAACAAACAAACAGATTTCTGTCAAAATACTGAGCATATTGCATATTATGCCGCATCTTTTCGTCAGCACTCACGAATTATATTTTTGACTAATCCTCATAATTGACAGAGAACTTCTAGTGGATGGACCGAAAAAGTGGTAGACTTGTCAGATGATTCATGGTAAGTGTCCAGCATCTTATCACTGGGAAATAAAATATTTTTTTTTCAAAAACCCTTTTGTAGCTTATCCCAATGAATTTGCTTTTGAGGCATTTACATAAATACCACACAATTTTATATATCTACATATCTGACATCAAAACATTCATATTTACATTCGTATCACTCAGATATTTCACATCGCTATCTTTAATTTTAGAACTAAAAAACACATTTTCATGCACAGGTTTATGGCATAAAGGTGTTATAAGTGTAAATATCAAACTTTTGGTGTTAGATATGTAAATAAATAAAAATCATGTGGTATGTATGTAAATCTTCCTTTGTTTTTATTAGCAGTTTCCGCTTTGTTTTATCACCGCAACCGACTCCGGCATCTCTGCTGTTTCTGAGAAAACGTTGCCAATGGGCTGACAAAGAAGAAATTGCTAAGCTTGAACAAATTGAAGTGTGTCCTAAAGCTATTGAGGTGACTCAACAAATTGCGAAGAGAATAAGCGCTGATGGTGGTGGAGCTCTCATCATAGACTATGGCAAAAATGAAATTATTTCAGACAGTCTGCAGGTTAATTTCTTAATCTTAACTTTTTTGATACTGATGAGAGTATTCTTCTTTTTGTTTTTTTTTTTTTATATTTTTATATTTTGGGGTAATTACATACAATTACATACATCACTCAAAACATTGATATTTACAAATAGAACCTCTCTTTCATCCAATTTTCAAATTCCCACTAAAATATCAAAATTCATGATAAAACCCCAACGGCTTACGCTCATACAAGTAGATAACTTTCCTCAGAATCAAGTTACACTCATAAGATTGACATTGAAGTTTTAATCAAAGTTTAAATTAATTATGTATTTAATTTAAATTTTTTAATCCGCCAGACCGTATTCAATTTATTTTAAAATTTTGAAATCCGCCGAACACCGTTTGCCGACCTGCTATTGCAAATATACCAACATGATTGAGCTTGAGTCACTCTTTGCAAACAGTGGAAATAATATAATTTGGTTTTTTGTCCATTTGATTTGCACAAATATGCCATAATTTTTCCTTCTTATTTTCTCCTCAAGATAAAGCTTGAAACTTGCAAGTTTGTTGTGGTTTTAGATTTAAAATCTTTGTTTACTCTGTGCTAATGGTCAAAATAGTTGATTAGCATTATAATTAAAAAACATAATTCATTTTAAGACAAGTAAAATATAATTTCCTTTTCAGATTATTTATGCATTGCGCATTTGCGCTCATCTTAAAGCAAATCCAATGTCCCTTAAGTCCTTATTCAAGCAAACAATCAGCACGCCACTGATAGTAACACCCTTTATTTCCTCTTTACTCTGCAGGCCATTCGAAAACATAAATTCGTTAACATTCTCGACGATCCTGGGTCGGCTGATCTCAGCGCATACGTCGATTTCACCGCCATTCGACGCTCTGCCGAAGAGGCTTCAGGTGTTTTTCCTCTCCAGTAGCTCCATATCAGAATCATTTTCTTCCTAAAAAAAACATTCACATTTTCACCTACACCCTGTAATTAGCAGAAATTATATCAGTTTATGGTCCAATCACCCAGTCCCAGCTTTTGGGGTCTCTTGGGATAAACTTTAGGGTTGAGGCCCTATTACAGAACTGCACTGAAGAGCAGGCGGAGCCCCTAAGAGCAGGCTACTGGAGGCTGGTCGGAGATGGCGAAGCTCCATTCTGGGAGGGGACTGAGGAGCAGAAACCTATTGGTGTTGGCTTGAGATATTTGGCCATGGCTATTGTGAACAAGAACCAAGGTATTCCTGTTCCTTTTGAGTAAAATTATAATTTTATTTCTTATGAAAAAAATGGATTTTTTTTAATTTTGTCTACCCTTGACTTGTAATTTTGCTAAGAAAAATAAAAGGTGGCATTTACAAACATACCCACAATTCTTATATATTTACATATCTAGACTCATAAATCATGTGAATATTTAACATTACATAAAAAATATTGCCATCTTTTTCACGCGTAGGTTTATGTGGCCAAGATGTTGTAAGTGTAAATAGCAACGTCGGGGCGTTAAATACGTAAATACGTAAGAATTGTGTGGTATGTATGTAAATTTTCCAAAATAAAATAGGGGGACTTGCATATGTGCCATACAATTCTTATTTATTTATATATTTAACTGTTAAATTTTGATATTTATATAACATTTTGCTGTTATAGTCACATTACAATATGGCATGAAAAGATGTTAAGGTTTGCAAAAAGAGTTGTTTGTGTTATAATATTCTATTGTTTTATGGTAGATTTTATGGCAAATCTTTTCATGAAATTATATATTTATAAAACTACCCTATATGTTGTAGGTTTTTTTTTTTTTTTGGGGTCAATTATTATGTTGATTATGTATAATGAGCATTTACATATATACCACCCAATTCATATGTATTTACATATCAGCACACAGATTTTGCTTTTTACATTAATTTCACCCAGAACTTTCATACAGGTGATGTACATAAATACATAGGAATTGAGTGGTATGTATGTAAATCTTAGTATATATAATTATTTTTTATATATATATTTATTGTTCTGTCATTTTCTATCGTAGTGCACAGTGTTTGCCACCTATAACCTAAGAACTTCTTGTGCCAGGTTCTTAATTGTGATTATGTGGAGGATCTCTCATCAAAATATTAAATTCTAGGTAAATTTACATGCATAGCACATAATTCTTATATATTTACATATCTAACACCCAAAGTTTTGATATTTACGCTTATAGCACATTGATGTCATAAATCTATGCATGAAAATGTTTATTGCACTCTTAAAAGGGGGTAATATTTGCGTACGTAAGACGTACGCAGAGTTGCGTACATATTAGGTTATTAGGAGGGTACAAGTAGGTTACACTTAGGTTATACCTCTTTTAATTCTTCCTGTAACCTAAGTGTGATCTACCTGTACCCTCCGAATAACCTAATATGTACGCAACTCCACGTACGTCTTAAGTACGCAATTATTTCTCCTTAAAAGGATAGTGAGTGTGATACTTTTGATGTGATATTAAAGGCCGAGTGGCGTGCTTTTAAATATGAAAGTTTAGGTGTTAGATATGTGATTGCATAAGAATTGTGTGGTATGTATGTAAATGCCCCTAAATTCTTATATATCAATCAATGACTTAAATTAACTTCCTATAATTGATGCACTCTCTTTTACTCAAAACTTCTTCACAAATAAATATATGAGCTCCCTTAGGAGGCACCTAAGTTTAATAAAAAGTTTACTAAGTAACACATGCAATAACACCAGTAAATCAAGTAATTCTTTTGGGATCATTCAATGCAAAGTCTTGGCTATCAACATTATATTATGTATCAATTCAATAGTGAACTAATTTCAAATGGGTTAAATATACATCTTCATTCATTCAAATGATAGTAATTGATATATCCTAAACATAATTATCTCAATCGGGCATAAGTTTTGACGCACATTTGGGCTTAGATCCTCAAAAATCAAATAAGGAATTACCTACTCTAATTCAAAAGATGTATCGTAGTAAGAGGAGTCAACTGGCACATATATGGCTCAATTTGAGTTCAAGTGAGTTTAGATCATTTACTTAAAGCATAATAAGAAGCTTTGAGATATATTTTGGGGACAATAATCTCCAAATTTAATAAGGTTATAGTCAAATCAAGTGTCTCGACGAGATGAATTCAAAGAGCCCTAGATCAGTTGATTCTGACATTATTATAACTTATAAGTACTCATAAAATCTAGTATCATCAAATGTATTACATTAGGTTGTTCATATGAGTGGTTCAAATTCATGCAATATTTATGGAGGATGTCACTCACCACCTCTAGAAATAGACCCTCACTCTCTTCATAAATGTAAGACATGGGCTTGGAGGAGAAGGCTGAAGGAGCACCAAGCTCATGAGGGTTCCAGAGCTCTACCGTCGGATCACAACCGCCTTGCCATCATCACCGTCATACCGCCGCCACCGAGAAACCAGTGCTGCTCGACCTCCACCGTTGTTGCCACCAAGCCATCAACATCAGGCAGCTGCCGCCACAATATCACTTTTGCCCGGACACCACTGTCATTGTCGTCGGACCACCACCGTCATGCCACTAGACTAACGCCATCTAGCTATTGCCCGCGGTCGCTGGACCACTACGACTCAATCAACATAATCGTCTTCGGCAAACCATCTCAGTCTAGCCATCGCCACAACCAAATCACCACTTCCCCAACATGTTGATAACCCTCACTTATGTAATATTGCTTTCGGCTAGTCAATGATCAGTACAATCTTGTAACATACATCAATATAATGAAATCATTTGAACTGGGCTAAGCCCAATGGTTTTTAACTTTTTGGGTTTTTCACTTAAAAGTTCTTGTTGTTTTATTTATCAATTTTTTTTCTTTTATCTATGTGTGTGTCGAATATTTATTAAACACTAAAACATTAATCTATCACTCTATTACTAAGAATTTACGGGCACACAACAATAATACATATTCATCTTCATAGAAATAATTTTCCACTATTACCTACAAAACTAACTTGCATTCTTCTCTCCCATTATGATTATTTTCATCTTAGTTCTTTGTTCTCCTTGTGTTTTATCAAAAAGTGCACCAATGCAAATAGAAAATCATAGCCTATGCATCCAAACAACAAACAAAATTTGAATTAAATTATCATCCACATTAATGGAGGTGATAATTATAATATTTGGTTTAGAAATGTAAGAATGTATTTGTATCAATCAAAATTCAAGATTTACCTTAATCATCAATGTTTAAAGAATATTTTTGCCGCATTGTTGTGCTATCACAATCATTTTACTTTTGTCTTCTATCTATAATTGATTGATCGTTATCACCTAACCATTAACAGCTAACTTTTATTCGTCTTACCATGCGGTCAACCACCCACATACACCCAACTATGATCGTCTAATTTCTATCACGAACAATTAATCAACATTGCCCGATTATGACTATTTAGCCATCAAGGTCTGATTGCGATTGACCGATTATGACCATCCGATCATTGTCGTCCAACTATAGTCTTCTGGCACATCTCACAACTACAATCTCTTGATCACTCCCTACAATCTTTTGACTTCATAGCCGACCTAAGAACATCTCATCATCACACTCGATCATGTCATTCTAATCACCAACACTCAGACTTCCTAATCAGCTATCACTTATAAGATCGATGTGCGTCGTTGATCCATGTCATCTACCATAACATCAATGCATATTTGTCGACGTAAATGACTTCTTGAATACTCCTACAACTTTCATCATGAACATCATCTAAGCCACATTCTTCAACCAACAATTGGATAAATATTTCTAATAAAAAATTGTTAGCATTATAATTTGTTTTGAGTTGATTCTTATATATGTAAAAAAAATAATTAAAATTTATATTACATCTATCTTAAAATTAGGAAATTTTACATACTTGCTCCCCAATTCTTATGTATTTACATATCTAACCCTGAAGTTTGATATTTGTGCTTGGAACAGTTTGGAGTCATAATTTTGACTGAAATTATTTGTAAATCTTGAAAACAATTCTAAATTTATTTGCAAATTCGAACGTTTTAATGTTGCGGCACCTGTGAATGAGAACAGGAGATCCATCCACACCTTTGTCATGATTTTTTTCGACAAGTTTTACGCTGGCTGTCCACAACCTTTCGGCTGATAAAAAATGGCTTCAAAATGTAAATTATATTTTGCATGCCGGCCTCAAATACAAGCGAATATTTTACAAATTAAATACTTAATTAGAATGTTTGTCCTGATTAGTTAGAGGGAGACTGAAGTCATATTAAAAAGATAAAAATTTGCAAAATAAATAAATAAATAAATAATTGTTTTGATTAGAATTAGATAAATGGATTTGTCCACTACCAACTAACATTTATCGTATTTATAAACTCTTTTTACGTGTGACAAGAGTACACGAGAAGTCAATGACTAGTTTTTCTGCTTTTTTCTTACGTTGATGATACATTGATTGCATTTGCTATCAAATTAATGTTGATAAGATGAAGAAACAATTGTCCAAACATTTCAAGATGAATGAGTTGAGAGAAGCTTACATAATTCTTAGCATGGAGGTTCTCAATGACGTGATAATTGTGAATGTTTGGCTATCACAAGAAGCAGATGTTTGAAAAGTGTTAAAAAAGTTTGGGGTTGATGACTCGAGCAATATGATGAGTCTATCCATTGCATCTCATCTTCAGTTGAGTTCAGATCATTGTCCTAAAAATGATCATGAGAGGGAATATATGTGATTGATTCTTTAGATTTGCGTAGAGGCAATTTAATATATGTCATGATTTATACTAGACTAGACATTGCACACTTGGTTAGTATTATGAGCAGGTTCAACTATGATCTGGAAATGAGTCATTAACAACCAATGAAGTCTACTCCGAGGTATTTGAATGATACAATTGATGTCGCTCGGTGCTTAGAAAACCATTTATTGTTGATTTATATGTAGGCTATATTGATTTAAGACTGCAAGTGATTTGGATAGGAGTAGGTCTATGATTGTTTATTTATTCGTATCAGAGGGAGGTCCAGTCAGCTGAAGATCGGTTCTTTACTTTACTTTTACGCGCTTTGTTTACTACAAGGTTTGTGTAAATGGCGGTTACGAAAGCGGTGAATAAAGTGATATAGATGTAGAGCCTATTGGATAACTTGAAAGTAGATCATGAGTTTATGATGGTGTTATATGATAATCCGAGTGTGATATTCATGACTATAAATTTAGTTCATCATGTCCGTACAAAATATATTGATGTGAGATACCATTTTGTTTGAGATTTAATTTATGACAATAATGTTTCATTGAAGAAGAAATATATAAAGAAAAATCCAACGAACAGGCTCACAAATGTCTAATCGGTCATAAGTTTTTTTGGTAGAAGTTTGCTCATTCGAGTATTTTAAAGAACTATGCGAGAGATGATCCCTTTGAAAGAGGAATATAAAGTCAATTATCTTGGTGCAATATTTTAATATTGGAACTCATTTTGACCATCTCCTACTTACTTGAAAGTTAAAAGATGAGATGAAAATTATTATGTAAAGTATTAAATATAATAGTTATATATTAAATAATTGATATTAGGTAATATAATTAGGGAATATCTAATTGGATGATTTTTTATATATTATAATTTTTTTTACACTCATATATTTTGTAAATAAAATAAATAAAATTTATAAATTAATAATTTCATAAGCCTCATTTAATTAAAAAAAAAACTTAAAAAAATGAAAAATGATGTCATGTCTACCTAAGCTATAAGCTACCATGGGGGGTTATTACTAGCTGCAAAAACAGAATAATTACACGTGGGCCCAATGTCATCATAACCGACATAAAGAACCCCACCCATGTCTCCCCTTCACACAGACGCTCCAAAATCCAAAAAAAAAAAAAAAATTACAAATATACCCCACAAAATTCTTATTTACACATCTAACATCTAAACTTTAATATTTACATTTACATTATCTTCATGCCACTAGGAGTGTAAACGACCCGAACACGAGCGAAATCAGGCTCAGCTCGTATTCGACTCGTTTATATTTCGAGCTCAAAAAGTGTGTTCTTGTGCTACTTGTTTGTTCATCGAGCCAAACACGAGCCGTTCACGAACAAATATTCGTTTTAACAACCCTAATCACGTAATCATAAGATCTTAAAGATTGGGACGAGATTTAAAACATCATTTGAATCAAATTTAATAATTTTTATTCAATTATATATATATATATTATATAATTAGTAGTATTTTGAGTCAAAACGAGCGAAACACGAACGAACAAATATTTATTCGTGTTGTTTGTGGTCAGCTTATTAACTTAGCGAATGAGTTTAACAAGAACTGTTTGCGAACAATGAGTCATTTTGATAGCCCTACATGCCATACCCTTATACCTGAAGCATTAGACACGTGAACACATAAAAATCAAAAACATCATACTATATATATATATAACATTTTAAACATTTCAAATATACCAAATAAAAAGCAAAACAATATGACAGCACTTTGCATATTCCCCCACTATGAATTTCTTCTACAAAAAAATGCCATATTTGCTATAATTAAAAGTTGATATTCTTCCAAAAAGCCCCTCTGTAATTTGATTATATTCAATTAGCACCCAAAAAACGCAAAACAGTTCTAGGGTTTCCATCTTCTCTCAGAAAGAAGCTGACGCCATTCCTCTTCCACAAAGCCTGCACCTTCTTGTTCTGCTACCCCCCAACATAACTTTGAAACAAAATCATCAGGTTGAGGAACATATTCCTGCAAAAACAGTTTACAAACAACACCCTTTCATACGTAAATAAGGTGGGCATATATATAAAAAGCAAAGTTTAGAAATATAAATACATAGAAATTAACAGACTTGTATGCAAAACTCGTGCATGCATGTGCATATACATCATTCATGCATTCATGCATGTATAATTAAGTATTGACACATATAACATAATTCATATATGCATTCAAAATAACTTTATATATTTGATTGTCTTCATTGAGTTAATGAGCCAAATAAAAATGGAAAAGTTTGAACTCGTCCGGATAGGGATATGGATACGACTATGCTTCCGTGTATTGCACGATGCGGACTGTTGTCCAGACGAACGATCGCCGCACGTAATATTTGCTCTGAATTTACACGAGAAAATAAAAAAAGCATTTTTTCTTATTTACCTCTAATTTCCTGAGGAGCTCATTGGCTGTTGGAGCAGAAACTATGATATGACGAGCTTTTTGAGAGATGAATTCCTCTGTGACGGCCATGTCAATGAAGGAAAGAAATGAATTGTAATATCCATCCACATTAAGAAGACCAACCTGCAAATAAGAAAAAAATATGTAATTTAATTTAAATAATAATAATAATATGCCACGTGGAAAACATGTAAGATAATCATGAACGTTATCTTAGGATTATATTCTTTTGATGTGAAAAATTTTATGAATGTTATGTGGTTGGTGAAGCGTGTTGAGGTCATAAAGATAAAAATAATGTATTATGGCATTGCAAGTATTATAATATGCTAATTAGAATGATATTTGGAAGGTATTTCATATTCTTAGGCTTTTCTCAAACATTTAACTTTGCAAAAAAAAAAAAAAAAAAAAAAAAAAATTATGATTTATGAGCTAAATAAAGTACTCCTCTCATCAAAAGAAATGGGTGATTACGCTCATAAAACTAAAGTTTTGTTTGGCGAGCTATAACTATTTGAAGAAACAGATTTATAAGTTTTTTCGTCAAAATGTCAAAGACAACAGTTTTCTAACAGCCACCACATAGCCAGATTAGGTTGCAAAAAAATGACTTTTTGAAAAAGAAAGCAAAACTCAATTTTGTCAAACACGACAAAAAAATTACAGTGCAGCACCACAATGCTACCCGTCTAAGACTCAATCACTTTCATTTACATAAATATCGCCCAAATCTCTAAGAGAATAAATATGCTAATTCATTATTCTTTACAAAAAATTAGATATGCAAAGAACTCAGAAGATTTGGACAGGATGACAGTTCTTTCCTTTAAAAGAACCAATTTTTATATTAAAAATTAAAAGAAAAAGTGCATCTTTCCCACATAAAACAAAACATTAACTTAATTTGCAAAGAAATCAGAAGATTTGGATTGAATAAAAGAACCAATTTTTATATAAGAATTAAAAGAAAAAGTCTATCTTTCCCACATAAAAAAGAACATTAACTTAATTTGCAGAACATATCCTAACCACAAAACACATAAGAAGCAAAAAAAAAGGTATTTTGGTCAAAAAATGCTTAAAGGAGGTCTTGAAAGTAACTTTCTTTGTTTGCCGACACAACCATTTCAAAGCCTGCTTTATATTCTTTCTTTCTCATGAGGTGGATTTGAGAAATATGCCAATCAAAGTTATATAATATCCATGTTACATAAGTAATTTATGCTTATAAATGAAGGCTTCATGAAGAACAAATGTCAAAGAGAAGATATTACAACTAAACTTTACTTTTTAACATTCATACACCATAAACGAAATACACCTTAACAAACGAAATACACCTTTCATGCATAGGTAAAGATGACATATATGTAAAAATTATAGCTTAGGGGATTGATGCGTAAATACATAGGAATTGGGTAGTATGGATGTAAATTCACCGGTTTCTTATGAATTCCAAGCTGTGCCCAGGTGATGACTTCAAGCAATTCTTCTAGAGTTCCATAGCCACCTTAATTTTGTATTTACAACAAAAAAATTTCAGCAGAACAATCATTAACAAATGACAATAACAATCTCATAATTTTGTGGGGAAGGAGAATGGAATTTTGTGGGGAAGGAGAATGGTTACCAGGCAAAGCAATAAAGGCGTCAGCTTGGCGAGCCATCTCGGCTTTCCTCTCGTGCATGTCTGAGACCGCTAGAACTTCCCCAACCGTCTCTCCGGTAATCTAAAAATATATTTTTTATATTATCTATATGTTACTGAAAATATCAAAATTGTACTTTTCGAACAATCAAAGACTCAACTTGGTCATACAACAACAACAAGAAGCTTTTATACAATTAAGTGGGGTAGACTAAATGAATCATTTTTCTCCATTGTATCCTATAAGTGCCATATTTTTATTTAATTTTAATAAATTAAGATTATTTTTTATAGCCCAAGCCTTTTTAGGGATACCATTTCTTTTTTTAACATAAGTCGAATCTAAAACATCAACTCTCCTAACAAGATCATGAAATGGTCAACATTAAAATTATTTTGCATTTACTCGCTAAAACATCTAAAACAACTCTCTCTAATCTCGTTTGCCACAAGCTAAACCAACCCATTCGTGGGTAGATTTGTTTCGCATTTAGTAATGACAAACGCGTTGTCGACCACATAACACAACCCTCCATTTTTTGCATCCCGGGGACTTGAGACCTGACAATGACAAAGACTAAACTTGGTAATGAAAATAAAAGATCTTATAGAATAAGCCTCATTTTGTTGCTTGAAGTTAAAAAATGTTATAAAAATGATAACTTTTCCTAGAGTTTTTGTCATATGAATGCCTCCAAATTTTTTAAAAGCAAATATTTCATTTTAACGATCAAAATGACCGAAAATAAAAGCTTTGGTCTGCAAGATGTGAAATTTATCAAGTGAAAGATGGCATTTTGTCACAATTACAAAAGTGCCCTTTACAATGATTTTAAAAACTGAATTCAGACAAATGAATAGTACTCAAAGTAATATCATAAGCTAATAATAAATTAGCTCAATGTTACCACATTAAGGTGATAACATATAGAAAACAAATTATCATCTTAATGTAGCTCTCACTAAAAAGACAAACATTAAAACAAGAGGAACTTAATTAATGAGTACCAAAAGCTCTCAGATGCAACATTTAATGACTCATCATGCAACATAATTTTCTACTCAAAACACTAAACAAAGCTAAGCAACATATATTATAATAATGATGACATAAGTAATGACATAAAAGCTCTCTCATCCCTAATACAACCACCACACAAAATTATTGGCGCATTTACATACATATCATTCTCTTTTTATCAATTTACACATCACATCCAAAATACCACTATTTTAACATTCTAAAAAGCAAAGTATCCATTTTTCATGCATAGATAAGCTAACACAATGTAAAAAACTAAACTTTAGATGTATATACATAGGAATCATATGCTATGAATGTAAATCTTCCAAAATATAATACAAATACTAAATTACAAAAAATAAAAATAAAAATAATAACACTATAAAGATCAAACAACTTACCTCCCTGGGCATCAGAGACTTGGGTATAACTCTGCACAAAAAAGGGGAAAAAAAAAGCTTTTTTATGCAAGCAAATTGACTATTCTGATAAATCAAAGTCTTATCTAAAAAAATATATCCAAAATCTAAAAAAAAATTACTTTAATGCCACTAAAGTCCTAGACCAAGACCCAAAAACCATGAACAAGTCATAAAGTTGAATCCAAAGCTAATGAAATTATGAAAAAAATATATCCACAGTTAAGCTAAAAATTGCTTAAAAAAAGGTTTAAGGATTTGAATCCTCTGCCACTTGTTTCTAACATGACAAAAGTCTGCATATAAAAGTCAATAAGAATTAATAAATAGAACAAAAATTAATAAATAAATATATTATTCCTCTCATCCTTTTAAATGCCACACCCTTTTTAGCTCCCCCATCATTCTTCCAGTAGTTGACAGCTTTCAGTACTCCGAAGCTTCTTCGTAAAAGAAACTTCAGAACATTCATTATATATACATATATATATATATATATATATATATATTCTTAGTTACTTGTAAACTTTTATTATGCCATGCTGAAAATTTGAAGATTTCAAGGAAGCAAGAGAGAGAGAGAGAGAGAGAGAGAGAGAGAGAGAGAGAGAGAGAGAGAGAGAGACAGTAAGACATGACGGCCGCCATCATGAACAGCGTGAGAAACGAGGCCCATCAAACCAACACTTCCACCTCCATAAACCAAATCAATTCCTCTTGCCACCTAAAACCAAAAAAAAAAAAAAAAAAAAAAAAAAAACAACATTAATGCCACATTTATAAAATATAATATCTAATGCATAAAAAAAAAATCAAATTTTTGAAGGAATGCATCAGCATTTTAATCCGATGAACAAAACAACATCACCATTTTTTTCACTCCCCATAAAAATTCAATTTTTAAGATCATGCAAGACATGCTGTAACCCTAACCAAATCTCATAATTTCAATCCGAAATTTCTTCCCCGGATCGAACAAAACCCAACACGATTACATTTTTAGACGATTTAAGAAAATAAAAAAAAACCCAATCGAATTTAAGAAGCAATATCGAAAAAAAAAAAAGAAAAAAAGGAACGATTTTTAACGATTCGTTCAACTCACCAACTCCTTTCCGAGCTCGACGGCCGCTTCTTTGTAACTCGTCTTCTTCCCCGGACTGCTTCCGCAGAATACGCAGATCCTTTTGAAGCATGACGGAGAAGCTACCGCCGGCAACTCGACCGCCGGCTGCTCAGCCATGGTTGAAGAAAGCTCTCGATTTTCCGGCGAAGATACAACGTGGATGATTGAATACGAGAGCGAACGGAAGGAGAAGGGAGCGGTAGAGTGATTTAGAGGCTTTATAGACGGAGAAAGAGCGGTGATCGAGCTTTGGACGGCTGTGGTTGATTGATTGGATTTATCGCCGACATAAATAGGTATATATATTCACTTTTTCTTGGTTTTTTTACAGATTCTTGATGAAACAAAGTGTGCTCCTAAACCCCATACAGGGAGGAATTATTGCGTGCGGACACTGCATGCATCTCTGCATGCAGTGTCCGATCCTGACCATAGAACACGGTAATCTACGGTCAGGATTGTTTCCATTAAAAAAAAGAAAAAAAATTTTGTGGGACCCATCAAAATACATCGGGTCTGTAGATCAGGTGATCTACGGTCCGGATCGGTCACCGCACGCAAGTTGCGTGCGGTGACCGATCCGTATGGAATAATTTTTCCCACAGGAAGGGTCCGGACTCCGCCTGAGTGAATTGATGAGCAAAATTGATAGTTTAGAACACATTTTATCTTAATTTACTCTTCCATAAAAATAAAATCTTGATATATATATATATATATATATATATATATA